GAACTCGGTGGTCTTTCCCTTGACCCTCCTCGCATCGGTGCTTTACTTGCGGCATCAGGTATCATACAAGGCATATTCCAGCTACTTCTCTACGCTCGTTTACATCACCACTTCGGTGCAAGAGCTATCTACATCACCGGTGTTAGCTCCGGCATACCCATCGTCATTTTATTCCCAGTGACCAATGCTCTGGCTCGAGCCTATGGAATAGGCATGGCGGTATGGCTGTGTGTTGCCGTTCAGCTTACGCTGAAGACTAGCTTGATCATGTGCTTCCGTATGTTAATTCAGCACTTCCTGTGTTCTGTTGAACTGAGAAGAATTCATAGCTTGCATGATATTATTCATCAGAGCAGCTGCTCCCAATCGCGCCTCGCTCGGAGCAACCACTGGAATCACGCAGGTGGCTCTCGCAGCAGGAAGGATCGTTGGCCCGGCGTCTGCAGCTTCAGTCTTCTCCTATTCATTGCAGCAAGGGCATGATCCGTGGTTGATATACTACTTTCTGATCGGGATTGTATTTCTCGCTGTAGGTACTTCTCTATTGCTTCCCCGTGATCTTAGTGTATGGGAAGATTCCCGATAATATCATCGCGAATGACTTGTTTCTATTGACCCCCATCGTGTTTATCGATCGCTTGCACTAGCGTATGTGAACTCAGACCCTGCTCCTTCAATGGTGTTCACCAGCCATCACTTCTGGACGCCTTTCCTAACGGGACAATCTCGTATTTCTTCGATCGGGTCACCCCATTGCTTGTAGCAGACTCTTCAACAGATCATCCCCAGCTCCCCATGCCGATTTCAACATTCGCCACGATTGCTCGCAGGACCTACCAGCTGGGCACAGTACTGGGGTCCATATCCTAACATTATGGAGGAACTCGAAGGTCGACCGGAGTGTTGCCTTGATCTCACTTTCCAGCACGCCTTGCTGGTCCTTGGCTACGAGTTTGGTGATGATTGGGAGGTGTAGCTTGGGAAGCATATTGAAGGTACAGAGCTCGGTTGGTGTCTCGGTGCTACGATAGCGATGGTGGGCGGAAATCTACGTTGTCGGGTGTAAACAAGGACAGTCATCGTGAACGTAATGCAGCGAGCTTTCATTACACGTTTAGCTCTGCTACTGAAATATATTTAATCTATCTGATTCGGGTCTTACATTTTGTTATGTCTGCTCTAGTCTCGCATGCGCGCAAGGTTTAGCCCTTCCGGGCGAGTGCTTGTGGAGTAGCTGAGCTACCCGTACAACGTGATCAAGTATACGGGGCAACGTGCGTAATAGGAGGTGCTTACTTTTACGTTTCTGACCCCGGCTGCTAACATTGCCAGTAACTTTGAGCTTGTTCTGTAAGCTGCCATACTCTTTATCGACGAGCTATCAGCGACCACCGACTTCGTAGAACGACTTCTCATCTAATAAGCCCGAATCCCCGTTAGCGTTGCGTTAGCTTGTGTTTCGCCGGACTAGGCAGACGATAAGTAAACGAATGGACCTGTGGCGCCTGCAGATGCATAAATAGGTACGCGCCTAATGGCATGGTCACCACATATCATACTTACGGTCGACGTATTTCAAAATGCCATGCCTCATGCTGTAGTATGTCCGCAGCACGCCCTCACTTCAACTTGAATGTCGTTGATTTGGGCTTTTTGTTATTGTGTCTCTTCTACCTCGCGTGGGCGCTGAGCGCTGACCTTCTAGCCTAACTTATAAGGTCAGTCAGCCAATGATGAGCCCGAGATCCTCTAGGCGACAGTGCGAACCCCTTGGCCAATGGTAGCGGCTATACCCGGGTGCTACATAATGGGAAGTGCCGTGTGACTGATTCTATGTCAACTGATCAGGTTCTTGTGGACTGCCATCAGGCCTTATCGATTAACCAGCCAACCAGCCGGTCAGCAACCGCCTCATTGGAATGACTTCACGTAGTATAATGAGCTGCATTTCTCATTCGAGTCATTCTCTCGCACCACCATGATTGCCCAGCAGAATGACGAGGAGATACCTCTTCTGCAACGACCAGAGCAACCAACGGCCAAGACACCTCTTCCATGGGATCAATTTTGGATTCTACTGCTCTTAGAGATGCCAGATTTTCTTTCTTCTGGGACTCTTGCCCCGTTTATTCCTCAAGTGAGTATATTCCCTTCGCTGGACTTATATCTGATGATTATGATCACCACTGAAACTTTGTCAAGCTCATTAGAGACATCGGAGTCACTCACGGAGACGAAACCCAGGTTGGACACTACGCCGGCATCCTCGTAAGCATGTCTTCATCGTTTTTGCCCTTTCGTTCGTTCATGATACTACTCTCTCCAGCAATCATCGTACTATGCAGCTCATACCCTGACCATCTTTCATTGGAGTCAACTGTCCGACCACATCGGGCGGAAGCCCGTAATACTGACGGCTCTATCAGCAATTGTTATTTCGATGTTTTCGTTTGGGCTGTCGAAGACCTTCCTTGGTCTGGTGGTAAGGTCAGCGTGTCCAGTTAAATGTCGAATGGTAGCTGTGACCATCAATTCCTGACATTCTCGACCAGTCGCATTGTCTGCGGCGCATTTGATCCGAGCGATAGTATGGTCAAGAGCATGCTGATGGACATCACTGACGCAACCAATATGCCCAAGGCATACAGTTATATACCAATTCCGTTGATGATCGGAAACTCAATTGGGTAGGCATACAGTACATTTCATCTCGCACTGAGGTTCACGGCATTTACTAGACCACTCATTGGGGGATCGCTCTCCCGACCAGCAGACAGATTCCCTGACATCTTCGGGCGATCGGAGCTCCTGAAAACCTACCCATATCTCCTGCCATGCTCTATCTCAGCATTTTCTGTATCGATAATTTGGCTAGTCACCTATATCCATCTTAAAGAGGTGAGCGCCTGAAAACCCATCTTTGGATCACACTAAGTGTGGTTACAAGAGCGTCTCTACCACTGGCGAAACACCGCTCTGGGAGCTAATTAAAAAAGGATTCTTGGGACAATCATACTCGAGGCCTCGCCAGCCATCGAGCAACGTTATAGTCGATCCTGGGGAAGGGAGTCCTGGAGCAGTTCAACCAAAGCCGCTTCCACTGCATGCCTTGTTAACCTCGAAAGTATTGAGTGTGACAGCGAGTTATACCACCATGGGCCTATTTCAAACGGGGTTCAATTCGGTCTTGCCTGTTTTCTATGCGACACCGATTGAACTCGGTGGTCTTTCCCTTGACCCTCCTCGCATCGGCACTTTACTTGCGGCATCAGGTGTCATACATGGAATATTCCAGCTGCTTTTCTACGCTCATTTACACGATCGCTTCGGTGCAAAAGCTATCTTTATCACCGGTGTTAGCTCCGGCATACCCATCGTCATTTTATTTCCAGTGGCTAATGCTCTGGCTCGGGCCTATGGAATAGGCATGGCGGTATGGCTGTGTGTTGTCGTCCAGCTTACGCTGAAGACTAGTCTGGTCCTGTGCTTCCGTATGTTAATCCAGCACTTCCTGCGTTCTGTCTAACTGAAAAGAACTCATAGCCTGCATGGCATTATTCATCCGAGCAGCTGCTCCCAATCGCGCCTCGCTCGGAACAACCAATGGAATCGTTATGGTGGTTGTCGCAGTAGCAAGGATCATCGGCCCGGCATCTGCAGCTTCGGTCTTCTCTTATTCATTGCAGGAAGGGCATGATGCGTGGTCGATCTACTACTTCTTTATCGCAATTGCATTTCTCGCTGTAAGTACTGCTCTATTGCTTCCCCGTGATCCTAGTGTATGGGAAGATTCCCAATAATATTAACGCGAATGACCATGTACATTATGATCTAGTGTAAGAGGCAGAACTATAATTCTCTTGTTATTAACGCGACGTGAACTATACCTGCAAATTCAATGGACCAATCTTCCATCATCCAAGCCATTCACAATGCTTCTCTTGAGATGCGAACGCTGAGAAGCAAGTTGCGCGAGGATGACATTGCACGCGTTTGAACAAAAAAGATAATCATCAATTCAGAGATGTCAAGGTGCTAACATGGCACATCATACGGTACTGCAATCCTTAATTTTATTTTTTTTCCTTAGCATGGGTTGTTTGAGCTGCACTGTGCAGAAGACGTCGTAGGACCGGTGCCTTGGGTGCATGTGTTGTCCATCGTCGAATTAAGATCCCATGTTACGAGAAACTCCGGATTGATGATGTCGAGTGCTCCTCGAAGGTCCTCCTTGATGGCATCCATCTCGGTGCTGATAACGTTAGAAACATAGTCGATTGCATGAGGGCGGAGCCACTTCAACATCCGAGCACGTCCTCGTGAGTCTGCAAACATGCAGTCAAGCAACTGCCAGTGTTCCAGCTTTCCTGTAGAGTTTCCCTTCTCCTGCGTAGAGTAGTTGTATACTACATACCAGAATACAGCTGAATCATTTCGCTCACAAACCTGTCCATAATCTTGTTGAGTTGCTTAATGTCGGTTCGCAGCGAGCGAACATTGGCTGCACGTAGACCATTCAAGCGACATTATGAGAGCTTCCAACGACAAACTCGACCTTCCTAGTTGTCCCGGGCAAGCTGTATTACTGCGAACAGTGCGAAGATGATGAGTATTGCGGAGAAAGCAGGATGCGATGCACGCCATCGTCGTGAGAGACGACGATGAACGCCCACGGCATACTGCGAGCGCGTGCCCTGAAGCTGTACTAGGTGCAGAATGTCAGGGATTTGGCAGTCTGGGACAAAGTACGGGAGAAAGTAAGGGAGAAAGTATGGGACATCGGCACCTCCGAGCGGAATTTGAACTCCGTTCAATGTTTCAAACGACTATGTCAATCAATCTAGAGTCGAGAGTTGAACGTTGATATACGACTCGGCTTCTCGTAAGATCTTGAGAACAGATTTGATACGTTCGTGTGGTGAGAGTTTAGGAGAAGTTGGAACAGCCTCGGAGGTGCGTGGACCAATAGGAGGTGCCGTGTAACTCATTTTATCCAGGTTCTTGTCGAGCCGGACTGCCGTTGTAGGCCTCATCGATTAGCTAGCCAACAAGCCGGTCAGCAACCGCCTCATTAGAATGACTTCACGTAGTATAACGAATTACATCTTTCATCCGAGTCATTCCCTCGCACCACCATGATTGTGCAGCAGAATGACGAGGAGACACCTCTTCTGCAACGGCCAAGACACCTCTTCCGTGGGATCAAATTTGGATTCTACAGCTCTTGGAGATGCCAAAAATTCCTTCTGCTCGGACCCTTGCCCCGTTTATTCCTCAAGTGAGAATATTGTGTTTGCTTGGACTTATATCTAACCACAACTGGACGTTGTCAAGCTCATCAGAGACATTGGAGTCACTCACGGAGACGAAACCCAGGTTGGACACTACGCCGGCATCCTCGTAAGCATGTCTTCATCGTTTTTGCCCTTTCGTTCATCCATGATACTATTCTCTCCAGCAATCATCATACTATGCAGCTCATACCCTGACTATTTTTTATTGGAGTCAACTGTCCGACCACATCGGGCGGAAGCCTGTAATACTGATAGCTCTATTAGCAATCTCTATATCGATGTTTTCGTTTGGGCTGTCGAAGACCTTCTTCGCTCTGGTGGTCAGGTCAGTGTGTTCAAAATAGTAGCTGTGACCATCAATTCCTGACATTTTTGGGTGATCAGAACTCCTTAAAACCTACCCGTATCTCCTGCCGTGCTCTATTTCAGCATTGTTTATATGGACAATTTGGCTAGTCACGTATATCCGTCTTAAAGAGGTGAGCATGATGCTGAAAACCCCATCTCTGGATCACACTAAGTGTGGTTACAAGAGCGTTTCTACCAAGACACCGCTTTGGGAGCTCATTAAAGGAGGATTCTTCGGACAGTCATACTCAAAACCTCGCCAGCCATTGAGCAATGCTATAGTTGATCCTGGCGAAGTAAAATCAAAGCCGCTTCCGCTGCGTGCTTTACTAACCTCGAAAGTGTTGAGCGTAACAGCGAGTTATGCCACCACAGGCCTGTTTCAAATGGGGTTCAATTCGATCTTACCTGTTTTCTATGCGACACCGATTGAACTTGGTGGTCTTTCCCTTGACCCTCCTCGCATCGGTGCTTTACTTGCGGCATCAGGTATCATACAAGGCATATTCCAGCTACTTTTCTACGCTCGTTTAAATGATCGCTTCGGTGCAAGAGCTGTCCACATCATCGGCATCAGCTCCGGGATACCCATGATCATTTTATTCCCAGTGGCCAATGCTCTGGCTCGAGCCTATGGAATAGGTATGGCCGTGTGGCCGTGTGTTGCCGTTCAGCTTACGCTGAAGACTAACCTGATCATGTGCTTCCGTATGTTAATCCAGCACTTCCTGCGTTCTGTTGAACTGAGAAGAACCTATAGCCTGCATATCATTATTCGTCAGAGCAGCTGCTCCCAATCGTGCCTCAGTCGGAGCAACCAACGGAATTGCCCAGGTGGCTGTCGCAGTAGCAAGAATCGTCGGCCCGGCGTCTACAGCTTCGATCTTCTCTTATTCATTGCAGGAAGGGCATAATGCATGGTCGATATACTACTTCATGATCGCACTTGTATTTCTCGCTGTAGGTACTGCGCTATTGCTTCCCCGTGATCCTAGTGTATGGGAAAGTTCCCAATGATATTATCGCGAATGACTGTACATTATGATCTAGTGTAGGATGGAATTGCATCGCAGATGCCAATATTTACGGCTAAACATTGAGAAGGAGTACAAATTGGCGTAGAAGATTGCGCATACTATAAATTTATTTCAGAGACATTTCAAACAATGATAGGTTCCTTCAACAGGTCAACCCACGTAATCACGAAGTGCTTAGTGCGTACCACATAGGTCAATGTTATGTGGGCCCGAGCCCCCTTAGCTAGGTCAAGCCTAAGCCGACCTATCGGAGTCGCACTATCGCCCAGAGGATCTCAGACATTCACAATCTTAAACCCTGCGCCCACGCGAGGTGAAATTAAATAGAGGAGCACAAAAAGCAACAGTAAACATATAATTTTCATAGGTGCGGCTGTCTTGCGATGTTTCCGAATCGAGACGGCATCCGCAAGAAGTTGGGTCCATTTCCCTCCATTCCAAGGACTGATCCTGACCCACTCATTCTCCTTCAAAACTCGTTTGAACCACAGCAAACAACAAGCCACGATGATATCTGCATACGAAAAAGTGTCGCCCATCAACCACTTCCCGTCTGTCTTCTGGTACCATTCATGCGCAGTATTGTACCCCTTCTCTAGTAGGGCCCAGTCTTCACTGTAATTCGCATCCCAAGGCAGCGGGACGTCTATCGAACGAACTCCGATGAAGAACTTCGCACTGGCGGGACTCAATGTTTCTGTGGAGCGTGCGAAGATAAACTTTACAGCAGGTATAACGAGTCTGAAATGGGCGGAGTCGAACTCGCGTATCAAGGATTCTGAGTTGTGGGGGAAAATGGCCTTCTCGGGATATGTCTTTTCGAGGTAGGAGGCGATTTCGAGGGAGTCAGTGATGAGGGCACCGGTGTTAGGGTCGCTGAGGACGGGGACGGGGTAAACATCGGTGCCATCTGAACGTTTGTTTGGCCTTGCACCGATGGCCTTCATAGAGATCGAGATGTCTGAGTATTCGACCCAGACAGTCACGAATGGAATACCCTTGTAGCTCAAAATGAACCTGAGGCGTAGTAGACTTTGATCAGATATCAAAGTGAAATACAGAACATAAATTACTGACCTCGGCTTTGCGGGGTTGGGTGACCAGTATTGCCTGGTAGGTTGGAGAGGGTATCATACAGGACAAGTGTCTGCGTCATGGAGTACTGAGATGTGGGGTTTGAAGTACTGCGGCCAATCTTGAAAGTCTTTTTAAAGGCTGGGCGGCTTCATTGGTAAGCATCTGAGCTTGGTTAGCATCCTTGAACACTGGAACTATACCTCTTTGTATAGAGGCAACCGTGCAGCGTGGATTATGGGCGATGTACCGCCGCAGTTGAAAAGTTAGCAGCCAGTGGTGTCATCGGATGCTGTGGAGTGGCTGACTTCCTCTAACGCGTTATGGTGGGGTATGAATCAGAAATGCAACTAAGGCGCATTACGGTTACCTCCGCACATAGAGGTGCAGTAGTGTTGGTACTGATCATTGATGCGTACTAAGAGGCCTAGGACGTTGAGTCATTGAGAAGAGGTTCAGGTACGGGTGTCAAGCGCCCGCCAGAGGTTATAATTGATCAGCTCCCAGCAGCCCACTACACACAAGGGAGGCAGCCATCCCTTCTTCGTGGTCTGCACTTGCGCATTGTACAAAATGTGATGCGCGCTTTGTGACTGTATAAGTCTAGATGACCCAGCCTGACTGACCGTGTGCGCTGCTATCTAAGTATGTTAGTAAGCCAGCTCAGGCTCAGGAGGTCTCCGCAGGCCGAGTTCGCGTTCTTATCGGCTTGTCATACTGCTGTAGGCGATGAGGAGATGCCCGACGAAGTGATCCACCTAGCAACTGGTATTCAGTTTTCAGGGTTCAAGAACGTCGTTGGCACGCTGTGGGAGGTCGACGATGCTGTCGCGAAACACGTCGTCGAAGTTTTTTACGAGTATATGTTTGGAGATCTGAAGAACTCAAGGCTGTGTCGTGGACTGTACGAGGGTAGCCTGGGCACTCACTGACTGTGTTACGCACGCGGTGAAGACGAAAGTGCCGTTCGAGCAGAGGATGGTATTTGTTCATATTGGTGTGTGGTTCTACATTAATATTGCCGTCGTCTCGTATTCACTCCTTCTCATCCTTGCAGTCTGTTCCACAAACCTAGCATACCCCAAGCGGGATCGATGTAGAAGGTGCTGTGACAAGCCATGAAGCTATCCTGATCGACGTTGGTCTAAGAAAGTGCATGAATGCTGACCCCATGACATGAATGAGTTCGGATGCATGCCATATCACGATTGAGCCATACCTGGAATCCAGAGAGACGACAAGTCACACCATGCATCGAATGTTGTCGGGTCTTGGTCCTGCAACCCTCAAGTTACGTTTCGTCTCGCAAAAACTGCATGCTCGTCCTATAATTACTAAGTTATTGCTTCATCAATGCATCATGCATCATGGTTCGTGGAATCGTCATGATCCTTACTATATTTGACTGCAATGCCCGAAACAAACAACGATCGGACATTGAAAAATCCTTCCGGCATAGCGGCAAATCGAACCGCAACCAAAAATTTACCATATATGGGGCAATATTTGTGCGTAATAAGAGGTGCTTGATTTTACGTGGAGAATTCCGGACATTGAGTTTGTTCTGTAAACTGCCGTACTCTTTATCGACGAGTTAGCAGCGACCGCCAACGTCGTGGAACGACTTCTCATCTAATATGCCCGAACCCCCGTTGTGTTAGCACTTGTGTACACAGTACAGTGCACCACCAGCTAGGCGCAGACCATAAACGAATCAGCCATCGGACCTGTGGCGCCTGATAAACAGGTACGCGCGCAAGTCACAGACATATTTATATAATGTGGCAACATGCAGTATTTCTAACATCGTTTATCGTTTATCAGTGGGTGCCTCTGACATGCCAATGTACAGTGACGGCTATACCCGGGTGCTACATAATAGGAGGTGCCGTGTGACTGATTCTATGTCAACTGATCAGCAAAAGCAGGTTCCTTGTGGACTGCCGTTGTAGGCCTGATCGATTAGTTAGCCAAAATGCCGGTCAGCAACCGCCTCATTGGAATGACTTCACATAGTATAACAAACTGCATCTTTCATATTCCCTCACACCACCATGATTGCGCAGCAGAATGACGAGGAGACACCTCTTCTACAACGACCAGAGCAGCCAACGGCCAAGGCACCTCTTCCGTGGGATCAAATTTGGATTCTACTGCTCTTGGAGATGCCAGAACTTATTTCTTCTCGGACCCTTGCCCCGTTTATTCCTGAAGTGAGAATATTATGTTTGCTTGTTATATCTAACCACAACTGGATTGTCAAGCTCATTAGAGACATCGGAGTCACTCACGGAGACGAATCCCAGGTTGGACACTATGCCGGCATCCTTGTAAGCATGTCTTCATCGTTTTTGCCCTTTCGTTCATCCATGATACTATTCTCTCCAGGAATCATCATACTATGCAGCTCATACTCTGACTATTTTTCATTGGAGTCAACTGTCCGACCACATCGGGCGGAAGCCTGTAATACTGACAGCTCTATTAGCAATCTCTATATCGATGTTTTCGTTTGGGCTGTCGAAGGCCTTCTTCGCTCTGGTGGTCAGGTCCGTGTGTTCAAAATAGTAGCTGTGACCATCAATTACTGACATTCTCGACCAGTCGTGTTGTCTGCGGAGCATTTGATGCGAGCGACAGTATGGCCAAGAGCAATCTGATGGACATCACTGACGCAACCAATATGCCCAAGGCATACAGTTATATACCAATTCCGTGGATGATCGCAGGCACAGTTGGGTAGGTATACCGTACATTATCTCTCGCACTTGAGGTTGACGGCATTTAGAGCACTTATTGGGGGATCGCTCTCCCGACCAGCAGACAGATTCCCTAACATTTTTGGTCGATCAGAACTCCTGAAAACCTACCCGTATCTCCTGCCGTGCTCTATTTCGGGATTTTTGATATGGACAATGTGGCTAGTCACGTATATCTGTCTTAAAGAGGTGAGCGCGATGCTGAAAACCCATCCCTGGATCACACTAAGTGTGGTTACAAGAGCGTTTCTACCAAGACACCGCTTTGGGAGCTCATTAAAGGAGGATTCTTCGGACAGTCATACTCAAAACCTCGCCAGCCATTGAGCAATGTTATAGTTGATCCTGGCGAAGTAAAATCAAAACCGCTTCCGCCGCGTGCTTTACTAACCTCGAAAGTGTTGAGCGTGACAGCGAGTTATGCCACCACAGGCTTGCTTCAAATGTCCCTCAATTCGGTCCTACCTGTTTTCTATGCGACACCGATTGAACTTGGTGGTCTTTCCCTTGACCCTCCTCGCATCGGTGCTTTACTTGCGGCATCAAGTGTCATACAAATATTTCAGCTACTTTTCTACACTCGTTTAAATGATTGCTTCGGTGCAAGAGCTATCCACATCACCGGCCTCAGCTCCGGCATACCCATCGTCATTCTATTCCCAGTGGCCAATGCTTTGGCTCGAGCCTATGGAATAGGCATGGCAGTGTGGCTGTGTGTTGTCGTCCAGCTTATACTGAGGACTAGCCTGATCATGTGCTTCCGTATGTTAATCCAGTACTTCCTGCGTTCTGTTTAACTGAAAAGAACCCATAGCCTGCATCACATTATTCGTCAGAACAGCTGCTCCCAATCGTGCCTCGATTGGAGCAACCAACGGAATTTCCCAGGTGGCTGTCGCGGTAGCAAGAATCGTCGGCCCGGCGTGTGCAACTTCGGTCTTCTCTTATTCGTTGCAGAAAGAACATGATGCATGGTCGATATACTACTTCTTGACCGCAGTTGTATTTCTCGCTGTAGGTACTGCTTTACCGCTTCCCTATGATCCTAGTGTATGGGAAGATTCCCAATAGCGATTGACCGCGTGTTATCATCTAGTGTAGGTAGAACTGGCAAAACTTTAGGCTATGTAGACTAGTATGTGTACAACATTCCGTACTTCAGGGAGGGTTCTGTCTGCAGCAAACTTTCGTGCTGTTCTCTACAAATCCATCTGTAGGAAACTGGATTAGTATAGCAGCCCCTTTTATTCCGCTATGATCCTTTCTTTGCTTTCTCAAATGTGAGAATCCAATCCGTCACCGAGCTTAGTACGAGAACGAGTATGGACAACGGGACGACCATGTGCTGTAAACGTTTGATAGCCTTAGATAACATGCCTTCAAAACAGCATCGACCGACAAAGCACCAAACCACCCATGAAGGTCGAGAAAACGCCGCAAAATAACGCAAACGTTACCGCCTTTCGTGCAACGAACGCGGCTACCGCAGAGCGAGCCACTGAGAGAGCCAGGAGGGGGGCTGTCAAATCGCTCAAATGTTTTGCGATTACGGCGGGACTTTTCCGGAAACAAGCAGGGTAATGAATGATCTAGATGTCACTACATCAGAACATTAGTAAGAAGTCAACCGATGCAGCACAACGCAGTAGGTCCGATCGGATGCCTAAAAGACAAGAGATGATGACACGGACACCTTGTTGTGAGTCGCCACAATCGACTCGCCATCAAACCACACACAACCTGCAAACGCTCAGTGCACTAATCACAATGACCACAGTGCTCAGCGAAAGTTCACGAAATCCAAGGACATGAGTTTTCAGGGATTTCGAAGCGCAACGAATGTCATTCAAGGTAAGAAAGTGCATCGTAGTGAATGGGGCAATCTGAGGTAGTATGGGCAACCGCATATAGTGGACGATAACGCTCATCAAGCCCGCGTGCGATGCGGTACGGGACTTTGCAGACAAACATCGCACGCTGCGGGAAAGGATAAGCCAACGCACAGAACAGAGAGCCTATGAATCAGCAGTGTCAGCGTAGGATACAGCAGCGACAATACTCGGAGGGTAAAAGGCGGACCGTACATAGTTAGGGAGAATTAGTGTCACTGTCAGACATAAGTGCATGAGTGACCCTCTGCCCAGAGAGGTGGCTTAGCCCCTGGAACAAATACTGTTGCAGGTCGACATGAGCGTGTTTGCAAACGAGTGTTGAAAAGAGAGTCGGGATTAACGATTAACGATTTTCATTGGCTAACTACGCGGGAACTGGCGGGTCGTCGTAGTTACGTAATGCATCAAACATGCACATGATGTCGATGCAGGTCTTGCCAGTGCATTGTGCGGCTCATGCGTCGTAACGGATAGGCTCCAATCGAGTGATGCTGTGACCTGTTAGCATTCCGAAATAGATCGGCTCTCTATGTTTCAGAAACCATGTTAGCATTCAACTGACGTTATTTAGTAAAGGTTGGACCCCGCAAACTGTGCCGGAGAAAGGTACGAATCTTTTTTTATGTATTGTCGTCTTCATTGTCCTAATTACATGTCTTCGTTCTACTCGTCGAGCTCGCGGTCTCTGCGAACAGCATTCTCTGCCTTTTTTTCCCAACCCTAGCGCTCATGAATGGCGCCACCTTTCTGCGTCCTCCCTATAACCCTTCACGCCAATTCTGCGGCCGCGTCGCCATGAAATATGCTATCGCCGCCGGTCAAAAAATTTCGGAACAGCGCAGGCAGTACGTCCGCGTCAAGATCTAGCGTCGGATCCCCTTTGCGTTCGTCATCGACATCTTTTCCCTTGTTGTCTTTCTCCACCAGTTGACTCTTACCGCTACCTCGCGGCGGCAGGCCCCTTCATATTTTTCTTCAATGATTTCCACTGCATCGTGCATACTACCCTACTGTCTATGTACATGTTCCTGTCGAATATTGGTAGTCATAATTTGTATATTGCATCTTCATCTCAGTGCTCCCTCAGTCAAGCAGACACGTTGGTTCATAATTAAAGTTTCATAATATGTAAATAACAAAATACTGTGAAGGAGACTACACTACACACCCAAGTTTTGTGGGAGACGGTGTGACACGAAGATGAGGAAGCCTTGGTGGACTTGGAAGCAGAATTCGGAGCAGCGGGGATTTTTGTTGGTGGTGTCAGAGCTGGCAGCACTGTGGGAGTTGAAGTTGGGGATGTCAATATCAAGTACTGGTCGGATGGGAATCGGTGATGGGTGTTTGAGGGAGTGACGCGAACGTGGCAAGACAGCGCAGGGTAGGTCTGCGCGAGGGCGGTGAGCTTCGACTTAAGAGTGATGAGGAAATATGCTTACCGAGCAGTGGTTGAGGTCTTCACCACTGATGTAATTGATGCGTTCAGGGACTCGTGTTTCCCACCCTGTTGGGAGCCGATCTACTTCGGAATGCTAACAGGGCACTACATGTACACTCGCTCCAATCGTTTATGTGACCATTTGGGCCTGTTCTTATCATGTCTCCTCTATTTACATAATCTCACCTCGTGTAGGTGCAGACCTTCAAACCGCACGTAATGGTTAGCCAGCCAACGATAAGCTTGAAATCCTCTAGGCGACAGTGCGGGTAAGTACCTATCATGGCACTGGCACAGGCGGCTATACCCGGGTTCTACAGAGGTGCCGCGTGCGATCTTTTAATCATTCCGAGCCAACTGATCAGAAGATGCAGGTTCTTGTCGACTGCCGTTGTAGGCCTTATCGACCAGCTAGCCAACAAGCCGGTCAGCGACCACCTTATTGGGACGAATTCACGTAGTACAACGAGTTGCATCTTTCGTCCCAGTCGTTTCCTCGTATCACCATGATTGCGCAGCAGGATGACGAGGAAACATCTCTTCTGCAACGATCTGAGCGGCCAACGGCCAAGACACCTCTTCCCTGGGATCAATTTTGGATTTTACTGTTCTTGGAGATGCCAGATCCTGTTTCTTCTTACACCCTTGCCCCCTTTGTTCCTCAAGTGAGTATATTCCTATTGCTTGAAATTCAATTGCTATCTGACCACGACGGGTATTTTATCAAGCTCGTTAGAGACATTGGAGTAACTCACGGAGATGAATCCCAGGTCGGTCACTATGTCGGCATCCTAGTAAGCATGTCTTCATCGGTTTTTGCTCATTCATTCGTTCCTGATATTATCTCGAGCAATCATCATACTATGCAGCTCATACCCTGACTATATTTCATTGGAGCCAACTGTCCGACCACATCGGGCGGAAACCTGTAATGCTGACAGCTCTATCAGCAATTTCTGTTTCGATGTTTTCGTTTGGGCTGTCGAAGACCTTCTTCGGTCTTGTGGTCAGGTCAGCGTGTTCAGTTCAATCTCAGATCGTAGTTGTGACCGTCAATTACTAATATTCTCAACCAGTCGTGTTGTGTGCGGAGCATTTGATGCGAGCAATAGTGTCATCAAGAGCATGCTGATGGACATCACTGACGTAACCAATATGCCTTTAGCATTCAATTATATACCAATTCCGTGGATGATCGCAACCACAGTTGGGTAGGTATACAGTACATTTTCTCTCGTGCTGAAGTTCACAGAATCTATTAGACCACTCGTTGGGGGATCACTCTCCCAACCAGCAGACAGATTCCCTGACATCTTCGGGCGATCAGAACTCCTGAAAACCTACCCATATCTCTTGCCGTGCTCTATTTCGGCATTTTTTACATCAATAGCTTGGCTAGTCACGTATATCCGTCTTAAAGAGGTGAGCTCGATGTTGAAACCCCATCTCTGGATCAGACTAAGTATGGTCTCAAGAGCGTTTCCACCAGGACATCGCTTTGGGAGCTAATCAAAGGAAGATTCTTCGGACAGTCATATTCGAAGTCTCGCCAGCCATCGAGAAATGTTATAGTTGATCCTGAGGAGGTGAATACTGGAGAAGTTCAATCAAAGCCGCTTCCGCTGCGTGCTTTACTAACCCCGAAAGTGTTGAGCGTGACAGCAAGTTATGCCACGACAGGCATGCTTCAAATGTCGCTCAGTTCGGTCCTACCTATTTTCTATGCGACACCAATTGAACTTGGTGGTCTTTCCCTTGACCCTCCTCGCATCGGCACGTTGCTGGCGGCACAAGGTGTCGCACATGGCGTATTTCAGCTACTTTTCTACGCTCGTTTATACGATCGCTTCGGCGCAGGAGCTATCCATATGACCGGCGTTAGCTCCGGCATACCCACCGTCATTTTATTTCCAGTGATCAATGCTCTGGCTCGAGTCTATGGGATAGGTATGATGGTGTGGCTGTGTGTTGCCGTCCAGCTTGCGCTGACGACTAGCCTGATCATGTGCTACCGTATGTCAATCCAACATTTCCTGCGTTCCGCTAAACTAAGAATCTCATAGCCTGTATAACATCATTCATCAGAGCAGCTGCTCCCAATCGCACCTCAGTCGGAGCAACCAATGGAATCGCCCAGGTGGCTGTTGCGGTAGCAAGAATCATCGGTCCGGCGTCTGCAGCTTCGGTTTTCTCTTACCCAATGGAGGCAGGGCATGATGCGTGGTTGATATATTACTTTTTGATCACAATCGCATTTCTCGCAGTAGGTACTTCTCTGTTACTTCCCCGTGATCCTAGTGTATGGGAAGATTCCGAATAACATTATCGCGAATGACCGCGTGTACATCATCTAGTGTATTAGGGGGTGGAACTGGCAAAATTCTAGGCTACGTAGACTACATGTAAGTATGACATTCCCAATGGATAGCATTGATGTTGCCTCGTCCCATTCATCATCTAGAATAGTCTGGGCCTGTGGTATTATTTACTTGTTCAACCCGATTCAACCTCGAGCATTTAAGCTCTGAACGTTAACTTTTTAGTCCTGTTACTAGCGCTTTACCTTTTCGAGAGCTGCAAATTAGCAGCGACAAACTCTACGCGAAGGATGTTTCAAGATCCTGTACAGTCTCACAGCAATTAATATTTGCCAACCTCTTCACGAGTCCGCATATGAACATGTTGATGGTGGCATGCTCCGTGGCTTTTACGGTACAGTGTCATCGAGACGTCGAAGGTTTGCACGGTGTTTCAAATGTGAGTGGGCCCTCGACCGAAAGACTACACATGATATTGTATGGATTGCACCGAGGTCATGTTCACACTGCGCTCCACTTTGCGTGAGTTCTGCCGTGGACTAGGCACAACTGATTTTTGCCAGACCGGTTGGCAAAACCACCGCGTTCTGCCAACAACACTAGTTCAATGACCGCGTGTTATCTGTTTACCATGTCAGTGCATCTTCCGGGTTTGACAAAATACTTTATTCAGGCAGAGACCTTCCCTTGTTATTGAAGACATCTTCCTTCCTATAGCTAGGAGCACTCTGAGCGCTTTCAAAGAAAGATGGAATGTAATTCATCATGATGAAGTTCCTCCCACGCCATATCAAATCCTGATTCCTATCCCCAATTGCAACGGCTCTCGATATCCCCAATGATCGAGAATCCGGACAACACATTCTTTGCCAGCCGTAGAGATGCGGATTGCACGAAAATTCTCAAGTCCAGGTGATTACGATACTGACCAATTGGGTACAATACTGACATGCATGGTAGAGGATTCAGGAACTACAAGGCCAGCTAGCCCATCATGACCCTGCCGCTTTCGTGACTTCCGCTTTTGCTACCGTGTTTCATAACAGAGAAGAATCACTGCTTTGTATTGTTATGCCTCGTGTGCTCAACGTTTACATCCGCAGCTCGGGTATGTACCAGCCTAACCCAATGCAGACCTGCCCGTGCTTCTGGATCACAATGGTAGTATGTTCTTCCTTTACGTTCAAGTTGGCTTTTACCAGTTTCCAAAAGCATGTTCCTATGGACGATTTACCCTTCGATTAATCCGAGCCAAGGAGCCACTCAATTGCCGACTCGTTTAATAGACTGCGCCCAATCGTCCATCTTTCTCATGTACCACCATGATACCTCGCCAAGATGATGAAGAGACTCCTCTTCTCCAACAGCCAGAACAGCTGATAGTCCGAACTTCACCTCTGCCATGGGATCAACTCTGGATCATATTATTCTTGCAGCTTTCCGATTCGCTTGTTGTTCAGACTCTTGCCCCATTTACCCCGCAAGTGAGTATATCCCTTCTGCGTGGACTTGAATCTAACTGCAATTGGAAGCTGATCAGAGACATTGGTGTGACGAATGGAGACGAATCTCAAGTTGGACACTATGTTGGCATCCTGGTGAGCACGTCACAATCCTTTTTGTCCTGCGTTCCTTCCTTATATCGTTCCGAGCAATCATCGTATTATACGGCTCAAGCACTGACTATCCTCCCTTGGAGCCAACTGTCTGATCACATCGGACGGAAGCCTGTAATACTGACAGCTCAGTTCGCGATGTCGATTTCAATGTTCTCATTCGGGCTGTCGAAAAAATTCATCGGTCTGGTAATCAGGTTCGGGTGTTTAATAACAACCAAACCATCAAATACTGACTTACTGATCAGCCGTGCTTTCTGTGGGGCATTCAACGGAAGCAATGGGGTCATCAAAAGCATGGTGATGGACATCACGGACACAACCAACTTGCCGAAGGCATTCAGCTATATGCCGCTTCCATGGATGTTGGGAACCTTAGTTGGGTAGGAATATAAAGTACTTCTTGCTCTTGAAACGAGATTCACAACAGCCTAGACCCCTCGTTGGTGGATCGCTCTCCAGGCCCGTGGACAGATTCCCTGAGATTTTCGGGCGATCAAAACTCCTGCAAATCTACCCATACCTCTTGCCATGCGCTGTTCCAGCTATATTCGCCCTGGTGGCTTGGCTAGTCGCGTATTTTTGTTTCAAAGAGGTGAGGGAGATTTTTTGAAGATCATTTCTGGATCACACTAAGTGCGGTAACGAGAGCGTTTCAACAACGACACCACTTTGGAAGCTGACCAAAGGAAGGCTCTTGCGACAGCCATATGCAAAGCCCTTTCCGTCATCGAGAAATGCTCTAGCTGTTTGTGAGGTAGCAAACTCTGAAGGAGTACCATCAAAGCCGTTGCCACTGTGCGCCTTGCTAACTCCAAAGGTCCTGACTGTGACAACAAGTTATGTCACCATGACTCTACTTTACATGGGATTCAGTTCGGTCCTACCTGTTTTCTACTCGACGCCGATTGAACTCGGTGGTCTTTCCCTTGATCCTCCCAAAATTGGTGCCATACTTGCGGTATCAGGTGTCGCCCATGGTGTATTCCAATTACTTTTCTACTCGCGGCTACACGATCGCTTCGGTGCAGGAGCCATGCATGTTACTGGCGTTGTCTCTGGCATACCGATCATCATTTTATTCCCGGTGACCAATGCGCTTGCTCGAGTCCATGGCCTGGGTTTGGCGGTATGGCTTTCTATTGGAGTTCAACTTTCGCTGGTAACTAGCTTGATCATGTGCTATCGTATGTCAACCAACCACTTCCAGAATCTCACTTTACTGAGAAGTCGTAGCCTGTTTAGTATTGTATATCAGAGCCGCCGCTCCCAATCGCGCATCGCTTGGAGCAACCAATGGAATTGTCCAGCTAGTTGTGGCAGGAGCAAAGATCGTTGCCCCAGCATCTGCAGCTTCAGTCTTCTCTTATTCGATGCAGGAAGGTCACAACGCATGGTCGATATATTACTACTTGATGGCATTTGCATTTCTCGCTGTAGGCACTTCTCTCTTGCTTCCTCGTGATCCTAGTCTATGGGAAGATCACCAATAGTATCGTCACTAGTGATCTGCATGTTGTCTGTTTGCGGCCATGATGTTCAGTAATAGGTAGTATAACGCAGTAGCCAAACAGAGATATTTTTGCGTCCTTGACTCCCTGCAGTATTACAGGCTTTTCTGGTGCGTTGTGAATCAAAGTGAGGTGTACGAAAAGAATATCAAAAGCAGCCACGGCGAAGGGCGTGGTGAAATTCAAACACAGGACAGGCTACTTGCAAACTACAATCCAGACAAATCCATTAGCATCAAGTTTCTAATCACAGTACTTGTGGTCTGGCGCGTCTACTCCCTCTAGAAATAGGCGAATGTAGATCAAACGTTCAGCGCAGATAATACCCCGCACGTGACGAGAGTTTCCACACTTGTTCCTGCCGAGATTTGATTTGAAATCTGCAGTCCAAGACCTATCTACTACCTTAATGGTCACTGACAAGAGTCCCTCAAACTCACTGTCCTCAACTCTACCGGCTGGATATCTGGAATAGCAATTGTGGTGCGTCCGTGATGCCATTGGGCTGCTACTTACACTTTATCGGCTTTCTCTGATAGATTTCCACATGCATGAGAGCGCATAATCGCCGTCAGTTTTCGTACCAAACCAGGTAACTGGATTACTTATCAATGAACCCCATCAACAGCCGTCGAGCTCATTATGATTGAAGAGTGTGATAGCCTATAGGGCTGTCTTCTTCTCGTACCATCATAATCATGCGTCAGGATAATGAGGAGACTCCTCTTCTGCAACAGCCGATAGTCAAAACACCTTTGCCCTGGGATCAATTCTGGATTATATTGTTCTTGCAGTTTCCAGACTCGCTTGTTTTTCAGACCCTTGCTCCATTTACCCCGCAAGTGAGTACATTCGCACTGCCTGGGCTTACATCTGATCACATTTTGTCAAGCTGATAAGAGACATTGGTGTGACGAACGGAAACGAATCTCAGGTCGGACATTATGTTGGCATCCTGGTGAGCATGTTACAATCCTTCGTTGTCCTGCGCTCCTTCCTTATATCAATCCGAGCAATCATCGTATTATACGGCTCAAGCACTGACTATCCTCTATTGGAGTCAACTGTCTGATCGCATTGGGCGGAAGCCTTTGATATTGACTGCTCTGTTCGCGATAGCAGTTTCGATGTTTTCGTTCGGGCTGTCGAAAACATTTGTTGGTCTGGTGGTCAGGTTAGCGTGTTAAACAACGACCATAACGGTTGATTACTGATATACTTATTAGTCGTGTTTTCTGCGGGGCATTCAATGGGAGCAATGGCATCGTCAAAAGCATGGTGATGGACATTACTGACACAACCAACTTGCCGAAGGCATTCGGCTATATGCCGCTCCCATGGATGTTAGGGGCCATAGTTGGGTAGCTTACAATATGTCTACTTGCTCTTGAAGCGGGATTGACAAGGGCAATCCTAGACCACTCATTGGAGGATCCCTCTCCCGACCCGCAGATAGGTTCCCTGAAATCTTTGGGCGATCGGAACTTCTGAAAACCTACCCATACCTCTTACCATGCGTCGTTCCAGCTATATTTGCCTCGGCGGCTTGGCTAGTCACATATTTCAGATTTAGAGAGGTGAGTGCGATGCTTTTAATGATCATGTCTGGAACACACTAAGTTCGATAATCAGAGTGTTTCAACAAGAGCACCACCTCTGAGGCTGATCAAAGGATGGTTCTTGCAACAGTCCGATTCAAATTTTCTCGTGCCATCGAACAATGCTTGGACCAGCTCTGCGGAAGCAAACTCTGATGAAGTTTTATTAAGACCACTTCCATTGCGTGCCTCGCTAACGCCAAGAGTCCTGACTGTAACAGCAAGCTATGTCACCATGGCTGTATTTTATATGACGTTTAACTCGATCCTTCCTCTGTTCTATGCGACACCCATCGAACTCGGCGGTCTTTCCCTTGATCCTCCCCTCATCGGTGCTATACTGTCGGTATCAGGTATCGCCCATGGTGCATTCCAGCTACTTTTCTACGCCCGTCTACATGATCACTTTGGCGCAGGAGCCATTCATACCACCGGTGTTAGCTCTGGCATACCTATCGTCATTTTATTCCCAGTGATCAATGCTCTAGCCCGAGTCCAGGGAATGAGTTTGGCGGTGTGGTTGTGCGTTGCCGCTCAACATGTGCTTACGACTAGCTTGATGATGTGCAATCGTATGTCAACCCAGTACGTCGTGCATGGTACTTAACTGAGAAGAACCTACAGCTTGCTTGGCATTGTTTATCAGAGCAGCGGCTCCAAATCGAGCCTCGCTTGGGGCAACCAATGGAATTGCCCAGATGGTTGCTGCAGGAGCAAGGATCATTGCCCCAGCATCTGCGACTTCGATTTTCTCTTATTCGATGCAGGAAGGTCATGATGCGTGGCTGGTGTACTACTTCCTGATGGTAATTGCATTTCTCGCTGTAGGTACTTCTCTATTGCTTCCTCGTGATCCTAGTGTGTGGAAAAATCGCTAGTAGTATAACCAAGAACGACCTACATGTTATCTGTTCTCAGCTATGTTATTATCCGATATATGTATCATTGCGTCAACACACTTGTTTTACGAATGGCTAAGCTCCTGCATTCTTCTTTGACTCGTAAGTCTTTACTACGTCTCTGAGATGTTAACGCTCAAGTTGTCGGGGTCAAGGTGTCCGTAAGGGTTGGCTTAGCGATCCCGAACCTAGATTTTTCTGATATTTGCGTTTTTTTTTGGTCAATCGGTGATTTGCCCTGCACTAGCTGGGACCTGGATGATCCACAATAGTAGGGCTTGAGCATATTTCTCTACCATGAGGAGCTTGCATGATTCACTCCTCGGACTTGGTCATGTCCCCATGTAATTATGTAAGACCGCGGGAGTTAGTAATGGGCACGACTCGGCGGGTCATTGTTCTATTACATACGTTCTGGTTGGCGAACGATCCAAAAAGCTCGAATGGACTCCCTCACTGGCAGCCATGTCCCAAGCTTTGGATGAAGAGACACCTCTATTGCGGCCTGAGGAGCAGCTCAAAATCAAAACTCCACTACCCTGGCGCCAATTATCCATTATACTTTTCTTGCAGCTCACTGAACCTGTAACTGCTCAGGCAATTGCTCCGTTTGCACCTCAGGTGAATTCAGCCCGAGTTCATATTTTACGAGTTTCTGATTAGTCTTGTTTTGTTTCTTAGCTGATCAGAGATATTGGAGTGACCCATGGCGATGAATCGAGGGTAGGATATTTCGTTGGTATCATGGTGAGTACCCATGTTCGGCATGAATAGTTGTTTTCTGATTCGTCTCCAAGTACTCCGTGTTCTACGTAGCTCAAGCCCTTACAACCCTTCAATGGAACCGACTTTCTGATCATGTTGGTCGAAAGCCAGTCATCTTGACCGGTCTGTTTGGTATATCAATTTCCATGTTCCTATTTGGAGTTTCAAAGACCTTCGGGGGCTTGATATTAAGGTTCGGGCATCGTGCTTTTAATTGAAATATAATGGTTTTAATGTGTTTTTTTTAGTCGTGTATTGTGTGGAGCGCTGAATGGCAACGGTGGTGTCATCAAGAGTATGATGATAGAGGTTACAGATTCAAGCAATATGGCACAGGCGTACGGGTTTCTTCCTATTCCATGGATGACCGGGAATACGCTCGGGTAGGGTCCCACACGTTGTTTTGTGTATTCTGTTCTTACGCTGAATGATCGGCTAGACCTCTCATTGGCGGGTCTTTGTCCCATCCGGCGGATCGTTTTCCTAGACTGTTTGGGCAGTCGACATTTCTCAAGACATATCCTTATTTTTTAGCTTGCGCTGGTCCAGCATTATTTACCGCATTCACGTGGTTGGTCACGTATATGCTTCTACAGGAGGTAAAATAGTTGGTCTACCCATTTCGTTGATCTATCTCATCTATGTTTAGACTGTGCCAACGACGACAACCTTATGGAGTCTGATTCGGAACAAATATCGGACGTTAGTACATACCAAGCCACCACAGCCGGATACATCAAATTCCGATATGGTTCAAGGTTCCTCCGACGATTCTAAGCCCCTGCCTCTGAGCGCATTAATGACTCCGCGTGTTCTTATTGTGACGTTGAATTACGGAACTCTGGCTCTTCTTGACATCGCTCTGCGTTCTCTAATACCCGTGTTTTACGCTACGCCAGTAAACATGGGTGGACTTGGCCTCGACCCTCCACGAATTGGCAATATTCTTGCAGTATTCGGTATTGCCAATGGTTTAATCCAGGTGTTTTTCTTTGCTCGGCTGCATGACCGATTTGGCACGAAGGTGGTATATACCTGTGGAGTCGCGTCTAGCGTACCGACCATCATCGCATTCCCGATCATCAACATCTTGAGCCGGACGTATGGGATTGGTACTGCAGTCTGGTTTGCTGTCGGCTTTCAGCTCATGGTGTCTATCGCGTTAAATATGTGTTATGGTTTGTTTTTATGTCATATGTCGCGACCATCACTGATCAGTTTATGATAGCTTGCGCAGCGATGTATATTGCAGCTGCATCTCCAAATCGTGCATCATTGGGCGCCACTAATGGCCTTGCTCATACGGTCGCTGCGTGTGTACGCATCATTGGACCTGCATCGGCAATGTCGATGTTTTCATTTTCCGTGAGGGACCCCTATTATGCGTGGGCGGTGTACTATTTTATGATGATGCTGGGACTCCTTGCAATTGGCATGTCTTTCTTGCTGCCCCGTCAAATGTGGACGCGTAATAACTAGCGTTTGTCTCGGTCGTTAGCAGCGGTACATGATACTTGTATCCTTGCAAGCAATGCTACATATCATAACTTCTGGCTTGCAATGGTTGACGTTTGTGTGCCATCGATCAACTTTCCAATCGTTGATCAGCTGTTTGGTGAGTCTCAATCGCATACATATTTGACCTTACTGCCGCTCCCATGGATGTTGGGAGCCATAGTTGGGTAGGCACTTACAATATGTCTGCTTGCTCTTGAAGTGGGATTGACAATGGCAATTCTGGACCACTCATCGGATGATTCCTCTCTCGACCCGCAGATAGATTCCCTGAAATCTTCGGGTGATCGGAACTTCTGAAAACCTACCCATACCTCTTACCATGCGTCGTTCCAGCTACATTTGCCTCGGCGGCTTGGCTAGTCACATTCCAGATTCAGAGAGGTGAGAGTGATGCTTTTAATGACCATGTCTAGAACACACTAAGTTCCATAATATGAGCGTTTAAATAAGAGCGCCGCTTCTGAGGCTGGTCAAAGGATGCTTCTCGCAACAGTCTTCAAATTTTCTGTGAGCCTGGTGGCTTACGTACACCTACACATATGGTTCATTGCATCGTAGACATCTCTTTTCCCTTAGCTTGAGTACCTTACCTTCGTCGTCGTTCCGCAATCCAGAACGTGGTTCTGTTTTGTTTCGCGTGTCTCGTCAGCGTTTCTCGTCGTTAGCCACGACTTGATTTAAAACTTCAACCACTGTTCCTTTTCTCCGGCCGTTGTCTACACTGGATCGTTCTTGCAAACAGAAGCTTCACGCTACTGATACTAGTTTACCTGTTCTACGCTCTGCCTCTCGCTCGCCAAGCTGCCTGCCCCTGTCACCACTGCGAGGAATCGTGATCCCCTCCGCATCTCACGGCACATCTGCCTTCTCATCATCCAACCTCGTCGTTCCTGCCTTGCACGCCCACCTTGCTTATGCCATCTTCCAGTTCTGACACACCCCCAGTCCAGGATCCAGCTACAATTTCTCAACCTGTACCATCGCCTACGCTCTTGGTACCCTCGCATTCTTCTAAGATGACGAAACTTGACATCCCCGCTTTCTCTGGGCCACTCGAACCAGCAACCATTAATGCCTGGCTTGGACGTTGTGAGGACTCTTACCTCGCATGGTCTGCCTTGAATGCAGGTCAAGTTATGCCTTCGCAACTTCGCATCGTGCTCGCTGGACTCAAGCTCGAAGAATACAACACTAGCCTCTGGTGGAGCGAGAATCGTGATGTACTCAAACAGCTTGCCACTTGGGAGGCCTTCGCCTTGTGTTTCAAAGACCGTTTCATCCCCTCTGGCTGGCGTCTAGATGCTCTCGCCTGCTTCTACAATGTGTCGCAGGGCGCTGATGACTTTCGCTCGTTCGTCGCTACCTTGCGAGTGGCTCGGAACACACTTAGCTCAGCAGGCCTTGGATACACTATCACTGACTCGATCTTCAAGAACCACCTTTTGTTTTTTGCCCACCCCATCCTTCAACTGCGTATTCGTGCAATGCCGAATCTTGGGTACGAGAACTTGAAGGTGGACACGCTTATCGATGTCATGGCAACTACTTGGTCTAGTCTCGTCGCGGAAGGCCTCACAAAGTCAATTTCTCCTAGACTGGTGTTTAAAGCTTCCTCGGCATCGCCGCCTGTGCCCACATCGAAGCCTGCATACCCACTTCCAGATCTCAGTTACGCAGAGCGGGAAGCATTGCGCTCTGTTGGAGGTTGCTTTCACTGTCGCTTATCGCCATCTGACGCTGTCTGGAAACCACACATCGCTCGTGAATGTCCTGGTGACGTGAAACAAGGAATTCCCCCACGTGTCCCTCGTCCGGCGACAACTGTAGCAGTGGTCGGTATACCTGAAGGATGCAAGGAAGTCTATTTGACGCATGGCAACCCCGGTGTCACAGATTTCTCTGACCCTAATGCTGGTCTTGTCGCTGCTCTTATACCCAAAGATGTCATCATGCCTTCCTGTGTTCTCGAAGGCGACTCTGACAGTGATGACTCAGATTACTAATATTTGTTCCTTTAATTGTTTGACAGTTTTTTTTTTCATTTCTGAGTCGCCGATGTTTAGCTTTTGTCCCATGACCCTCCCGCCTTTCGTATACCTGCAGACTACTAGTATCAGACATCAATGCATCATAGTTTGCCACTCTATTTACGTAGCGAGGCACGAGCGGAGGAAATAGAGTTAAGTCTTTGAGCGAACAACAAACGTGACGTTCTCACCTCTTCTCTCTCTGCTGCGTCGACCAGTCACACCGTGCATTTCGTCGACTTAGCTTTTCTTTTCCCCACCCTCCTCTCCCTGAGCCATCACGCGCCGTGGCGCGATTCGGCGCCTCGCTAACCACTCACAGCAAACCAAAGAAACCCCTTGGGCCCTGAAGGGGCAAACTTAGCCAAGACACAGCGAGGCGGCCCACCCGCCCTCGCAGCTCACCTTTTTCTCATAGGCTAAAGCCCCTTTGAGGCCGGTAGGCGCTACGCGCCTTCGCCCGAAAACCCTCCCGTCCTTTCTCCCTTAATTACGACCTTGTACAAACGTTACACACTCACTTAGTTTGAACCAAGTCGTCCTTGCTCTCCTCGAACGTCACGCCAGTGTGAACCTCAAAGAGCATATATTAACTCGACATCATTCAATTGAGTCAACTAAGGCCGTGGGAAGTTTCATTTGTGAATGGGCACGGAGGTCGATACCCGTTCTATTACATACATCATGATTCTTAGTAGATAATACTAATCCGAAGAGCTGGCATGGGCTCCTTCAGCAGCTATGTCCCACCAAGTGGATGAAGAGACGCCTCTATTGCGGCCTGAGGAGCAGCATAAAATCAAAACACCACTACCCTGGCGCCAATTCTCCATCATACTTTTCTTGCAGCTCGCTGAACCTGTATCTGCTCAGGCAATTGCTCCGTTTGCACCTCAGGTGAACTCAGCCTGAGTTCATATGCTTTACGAGTTCCTGATGAACTTGTTTCATCTCTCAGCTGATCAGAGATCTTGGAGTGACCCATGGCGATGAATCGAGGGTAGGATATTTCGTTGGTATCATGGTGAGTGCCCAGCGTTCGCCATCATGAATAGCCGTTTCCTAATTCGCCTCCAAGTATTCCGTGTTCTACGTAGCTCAAGCCCTTACAACCCTTCAATGGAACCGACTCTCTGATCATGTTGGTCGAAAGCCAGTCATCTTGACCGGTCTGTTTGGTATATCGGTCTCCATGTTCCTATTTGGACTTTCAAAGACCTTCGGGGGCTTGATACTAAGGTTCGGGCATCATATTCTAATCGAACATTCCATGGTATTAATTTTTTTAGTCGTGTATTGTGCGGAGCGCTGAATGGCAACGGTGGTGTCATCAGGAGTATGATGATAGATGTTACAGATTCAAGCAACATGGCACAGGCATTAGGGTTTCTGCCTATTCCATGGATGACCGGGAGTACACTCGGGTAGGTCCCACATGTTGTTTTGTGTGCTCTGTTCTTACATTGAATGATCGGCTAGACCTCTCATTGGCGGGTCTTTGTCCCATCCGGCGGATCGTTTTCCTAGACTGTTTGGGCAGTCGACATTTCTCAAGACATATCCTTATTTCTTGGCTTGCGCTGGTCCAGCATTATTTACCGCATTCATGTGGTTGGTCATGTATATGCTTTTACAGGAGGTAATATAGTGGTTCACTCATTTCATTGATCTGTCTCATCTATGTTTAGACTGCCAACGAAGACGTCATTATGGAATCTGATTCAGAACAAATGTCGGACCATTCTTACGTTCGTACATACCAAGCCACCACAGCCAGATGGATCAAATTCCGATACGGTTCAAGGTTCCCCCGACGATTCTCAGCCCCTGCCTGTGAGCGCATTAATGACTCCGCGTGTTCTTATTGCGATGTCAAATCACGCAACTCTGGCTCTTCTTGACATCGCTCTGCGTACCCTGATACCCGTGTTTTACTCTACGCCAGTAAACATGGGTGGACTTGGCCTCGACCCTCCACGGATTGGCAATATCCTTGCAGTATTCGGTATTGCCAATGGTTTATTCCAGGTGTTTTTCTTTGCTCGGCTGCATGACCGATTTGGCACGAAGTTGGTATACACCTGCGGAGTCGCGTCCAGCGTACCGACCATCATCGCATTCCCGATCATCAACATGTTGAGCCGGACGTATGGGATTGATGCCACAGTCTGGTTCGCTGTCGGCCTTCAGCTCACGATGTCCATCGCGTTAAATATGTGTTATTGTTCGTTTTTATGTCATGTGTCGCGACCATCACTGATTAGTTTGTGATAGCTTGCGGATCGATGTATATAGCAGCTGCATCTCCAAATCGTGCATCATTGGGCGCCACTAACGGCGTTGCTCATACAGTCGCTGCGTGTGTACGCATCATTGGACCTGCATCGGCAATGTCGATGTTTTCCTTTTCTGTGAGGGACCCCTATTATGCGTGGGCGGTGTACTATTTTATGATGATGCTGGGACTCCTTGCAATTGGCGTGTCTTTCTTGCTGCCCCGTCAAATGTGGACGCGTGGTAACTAGCTTTTGTCTCGGTCGTTAGCAGCGGTACATGATACTTGTATCCTTGCAAGCAATGTTACATATCATAACTTCTGGCTTGCAATGGCTGGCGTTTGTGCGCCATTGATCAACTTTCCAATTTTTGATTCAAATTCCGCTGTTTGGTGAGTCTCAATCGCATGCATATTTGACCTTACTGAGAACTGTTCTTCTCGAAGAAGATTTTGAAAAGCAACGTCCGTCGTCAAGGCTCGCTTTTCTTAGTTCTATTGTTGTTTGCATGCCTTAGCATAGTCCTCGTACTCAGCATATTCTCTCACCGGTGGCTATCGGCTACACTGAGAAAACACTATACACGTCATACTATTACAAGAAATCGTGCGGGTGATAAAGACATTCCGGAAGCTACCCCCCGCGGTTCTATCATGCTTGGAAGATCCGAACTTCCTCTGGATACACTCAGTCAGTGATTCCATCATAACACTAAAAGCCCTACTCCAGCAACTAGAGCTGAGGCGTCATGTCGTAAGGATCGTGGTGCGTGTTATCCCCTGAACGTCGACTTATGATAGCGGATTAGCCAGGTTAGGCCCAGAGACGATAGCCCCGCAAGAGACGTTCTACTCCCACGTGAGACTGCTTTTGGCAAGTACAACGGAGTTGATCCCAGCTTCAGGGTCCAATGATGCCAGAAGGTGTGTGTCGAAACTTTGTTACGGGGCGCCTGATAACTCATTCGTTCCACCGTTGTCAAGTTAAGCTGCCGAAATTTCATTAACAATATGACTGTAGAGGGAAGTCGCCAATTGGTTCCAGGGGGTGAAGGTATGTGACGTCAGATCCATAATTGTACTGCCGCATCATGATCGATTGAAAGATTGATCACGGATTGCCAATCCGTCTCTCACTTATTGAGACCGAGAACCCTCGTTTCGGGAGTGCAGCCTAGTGCAGTGTGAGTGTGCAGTGTGCGTGTTCCATTAATATTGCACGAAAGGGTCAAGTACTTCTTCCATCAGTAATCATGAAATGACATTGATCACTTGATCACTTCGTTGCTCGAGTCCTACGGTAGTCATGGTGAACCCCGTTCTAGTGACCCGGTTTTCCTCCCCCGGTTGCTGGATCGAAGTGTTGAACATCTTTTGCACCGCTGCAATTGCCAACAGCCAGCACGCTTCTCTACTTCGTCGTTGGCGCTGACGAACGACGACACCCACACTCTTTTTTAACGTCTCGTTCTCTTATTAGTACTGCATATCCTACTTTTTTATACAGGATGCAACACGTCTCTGTCCGACATCGCGCGATTCCCAACAGGGCACTCGACCAGCGCAATCCCTCTCTTGTTAGCTTGCCCGTCCCGCCACCATCTGTCACGATGACGATACTTGCTCCCCTGATATCCATTACCGGTGAAGATAACGGTGGGGGCTCTTCAGTAATGGGTTTTCTACCACCAAGCGCGTTGACAGCATTTTTGTGGCCAACCCATACTACCACTTTCAGCGCAGGCAGTAGCAGTGAAACCGGAACAATTAGCGGAGGTGGGGGTGGGGGTGGAAATAGTAACGGAGGTGGAAGTGGGGGCGGAGGTAGTAACGGAGGTGGGAGTGGGGGTGGAAGTAGTAACGGAGGTGGGAGTGGAAGTGGAAGTGGTAGCGGAAGTGGAGACGGTAGCGAGGGTGGAGGTGGGACTGGTAGCAAAAGTGGAGGTGGTAGCGGAATTGGGGGGGGAAGTGGAAGTGGGGGTGGGGGTGGAGGTAACAGTGGCAGTGGCAGTGGTGGTGGGACTGTAACCGAAACTTACGGTGGAACTGGAGCGGGAAATGGAAGTGGAAGTGGAAGTGGAAGTGGAAATGGAGGCGGCAACGGTGAGAACAGCCCCGAGGGAAGTAGCAGCACCTCCACGCGTACATTATCACTGGCAGCCTCACCAAGCTCCCCTTCCTCTCCGGGAGGTACACCTTCCTTCATCAATGGTACCGGCAGCCATCTCAATTCTAACGGTAGCGGAGGGCCGCTCGTGAACGTCCAAGGCACTCCGGTAGTTCAGTCTTCATTTTCGACGCACAACCCCACAATAACGGGCAATCCCAAGATGTCTCAGTCCACGGGTGCACCAACCGCCGGTCTCCGAGGCTCGAGTACATCCAGTGGTGTCGGAAGCTCCCCGAGTGACGCTACTCCTACTCTTACTGCGACTTCTTCGCACCAACTGTCCTCGGGCGCAATTGGAGGAATCATTGTCATATGCTTTTTATTCCTGATTGGTTTCATCGTGCTCATCGTGCGGCGTCGCTCCATCGCTCGCCGTCTCCAGCGCCGCCAACAATGGCGGTTCGGCGGAAATACCTTGCCAGGTAGTTTATCTGTCGTAGGAGGTGGTGTGCGGGACCCTCAAAGTGGGGAACAACCTATCCAAAACAGGGCGAGTGCTCGCAGCAGCTTTGCTACCAACTTTGATCAAGGACTCATGTTCCGCATTGACTCCCCGACGTCATCCCGCAGTGTTGATCTCGCCGCACTCGGCACCACTCCCGAGTTCCCTCCCATGGTGGAAGTGCGCGAACGCACCTCGCTCTTGTTCCCTTCTGCTGGTGCTGTTTCTCGTAGAGAGTCCATGAATAGCATGATGAGTATCGGGAGCGACCCCGACACTCAGTACCTCATTATGGGAAATGATCTCAATCCTCCCGGATCATCTAGTCCCATGTCCGTCCGTCCATTTTCTCCGTCAGAATCCTTCGCGTTTCCAAGGCCACCACCCCCTTGCCCCAATCAGGCGCAGCGTGCTTCGTCCGTTTCTGCTAGTCACGACCTCGTTGCCCTTTTGTCATCCGCTGCTACTGTCGTTCAGATCCACTCTCCTCCTCCCATATTCAATTCTGATTTACTGCCCTCTGCTACCGCTTCCTCTTTCCTCCTATCACCACCCAGCGGTTCGTTGACAACTATTCCTGGCACACCTCCTAACCCTTTTGCTGATCCTGCGAAACCCGAATTCGAGACCATCCATCGCCCATTCATCCCTACCCTAGACGATGAAGTCTCTGTCGCCCCGGGTGATCAAGTCCTCGTTTTGAAGGTCTTCGACGACGGCTGGGCGTTCATCGAGAAGCAGTGCGGATTCTTGGATGATAACGAGAAGGGTCTCATTCCCGTGGACTGCTTGCGCGAAGCCGGTCAGGCCCTCCCAGTATTCCTATCTCAAAAGCGGGTAAGCGGGTACCAAGCTGATACAAGTCAACTGGCCCAAATGTTGAAGGATGGCTTCAATGCATTTTGAATGACAAGCACGTAATTGGTAAGGTTTTCTCCTCTTTACCAAAGCCCTCGTTGATTTCGTTGTTTTTTTCTCAATGATACCAGCATAATTGGAGATTTATGATATCCATCATTGATCGCGTATCAATCTCAAGTTTCTTGCATTGTTAAAAGGATCCTATGATATATTCTATCTCAGTCACCTGATTTATCGTCCTGTTTTCTCTGCTCCTCTACGGTTTTATCAAATTGTTGTCCATATCACTTCTTTCATTTATATTATCGTTTTGTTTTTGCATCTGTTGCTTATTCAACTTGGCCCTTCTGACCTAGACATTCATGTTCTATTATATTGCACATGCTGGATTTTCTCTACACTTCAGATACCTTGTCGTTGCTACTCTCTATCGCTACTGGATTTGATTGCGGACCCTTTTCATTCATCAAAAGTCTCTTTGCTTACACTTCTGCAGTGCCTCGACAGCTGTAAGAGTTGGAATATTTAGACATCCTGATGCCCGGATGTGATTCCTTGTGCGTTATCAATGACCAGTGCACTTTTAATATACGAATATCAGTACGGGCCAACTCCATACTCTAAGTCAAGCTGAGTACGAATGAGATCAGACTGATCTACATGGTAGGGCTGAACACTGTCAATCCAAGAACAAACTCGTTATCTCCAGTATATGGTTACCACTGAACAGTAGCACCCTCGTGATTAAGGTCGCCCGTCCATACAAAGGAAGTTCAGCGTTCGATGGTTTCCTGCGTTACAGACACTTGAAAGTCAGTAAGCAATTGATAGAAATTGCCAATCTCTGTTGTCACGAACACCAAGGGTGACGGTGAAGAAGATCTTGTATACGTTTCGGCAGCTAGGTTTATACCGCGGCAGTGGACGAACAGGTCTCGTGAGGGTCTAGTTCAAGATTCACTGAATCCGCGTCTTGTTGAAGTAGTTAGGGAGCTCAGATACAAAGGAAGACGAAGGCGAGTCTGGGACGATGGCCCGGGTGGTTGGGAGGAAGTGACAGTGCTGAGTCACACTGACTGGTAGCCCAGAAGATGAGCATGCGCGCGTATATGCCATCCATGATGCTGCTAGCAATGTCGTTTAGGACGTGTTCCCCGTTGACAACGATACTCATGCTATACTTAGCTTATACTAGAAGGCAAATAAAGGTCTCCGGCCGACGTGTTCGCTATACAACTTGATGCGACCCATCGAGGAGTTGAAAGTGTAGCCGACGTATATAGCGAATTTCAAAAAGGTACTGAGAGCTAACTTGGGCGAAGAGAAAGGATTGTTCATGACAAATCGCTTTCAAGAACGGCAGCACCTGGTGACTCTGAAGTCAGACTCGGACAGCCGCTACATTATTTTCTTGATGATGCACTCACTGAAAACTCGGGGGCCTTCCGTATTTCAGGTTAGACTCGAATATCTAGCGATAAAATCACAAGCTGACTCGTCAGCAAAAATTACTTTTGTGGACTGTAAAATGGTTGTGAGCATCTGGCACTACGAGTTGAAACAAACATCTCCACCGAAGGCCTCAATGTTGCTTTGCATCCATTGCAAAACTAGAAAAGTATCTTTCAGGACAGTATTGGATGCATTGAACCTGGGCCTGAGGCCTGAATAACTAGTCAGATAATGATGCGAACGTTTAACAAATCTCGGGTACAAATACGGTACTAGTAGCCCAGAAAACTCGAGTAGTAAATGTTCATCACGTGACTCACGGTGTATCATTTTACATAACAACCAACGGTCGACTCGACAGAAGGTCCGACGTATCCACTCATTGTCATACTGTAAAGGAATGGTCGACTGTCACCACAATTCATACCACCACTATGAACTGACTGGGTGCGCAATTGATAGCAAGCGCTAATCTGCTCAAGAGAGAGGTCATCGCCTGGCACGGAGGAACTGGGAATCACTCACCCTTGAACCCATCAAAACCCACTTCAGGCACATCTACTCGTTGTACTTTCTGTACTTTTCTCCCGATGGAAAAGATTTCGACACAACGAAGCTGTGGAACACCAAAGCCTGGGAGCTATAAGGAAATCCAATCAAGTGTGTCAGTTCTGTCAACTGCGTTCAGTATTCGCTGTCTGGAGAGCCATCACAAGAAACACCAATAATCACATCATATGACTCGTCGCTTGCGTGGCTCTACTTCCAACCCTACCAATGGCTACCATACGCGAATGGGATACATTGACCTGCACGTTAGGTTTCTCTTTTTTCTCCCTCCCTCCATCACATCATACCATCTACCCATTTCTCATCACTAGGCTTTTCCTCTTGATCAAGCCAACCAAATTTTCGTCACCTGCAAGAAAAGAAAAATCAAAATATGGTCGGGATCAACTTTTTGCTCATATTTACGATACGGTCAGCTTATTTATTGATTCTAATAAAAAATAGTCGACCATCTTTACCACCTTCGCGGGCGTTGTTATTCGATGATTAACAGAATCATGTACACTCGTCCATCAGCGAGCTTGGCGCCGAAATGCGTCATTGAGGGTCATTCCAAAATCATTTGGAGCCTTGCCTGCTTGGGCACCAGTTTGGCTGTATCTCCGGATGAGACGATGGTTGTGAGTGGAAGTCTGGACGGCAGACTATGGCTGTGGAACATAAAGAAGGGCAGGATGGTTGGCGATCCGTGGGAGGGCCATAATGGTCAAGTGAGGTGCCTCGACTGGTCTCCTAATGTCCTAGAGATAGCAAGTGGATCGACCGACGGCACCATACGACGCTGGAACTCGGATACTGGTCGATAAATAGCACCACCGATAGAGACCGGCCAAGGAAGGGTTTGCGCTGTCAGATACTCTCCACAAGGGGACGAATTCACAAGCGACGGGAAGGACAAAGTAATCTACATGTGGTCAAAGGACGGCGAGCTGCTCATGAAGATCGAGGGCCACGACAGCGATGTAACGTAATTATGTTGGTCCAAGGATGCCGCACACATATTCTCCGTGTCAGTCAATCCCACCATTTGAAAATGGCGGTCGCCGATTGATGGGAAGGAGCTAGGGTCATGACCGTACTATCACCTCCCTCTGTCTTTCTCCTGATGAAAACCATCTTGTTAGCGCATCACTTGACTACTCGATCCGCATCTGGGACCTCAAGACGAACCAGCTAGTCGGCAACCCGCTCTTGCATGACGACGAACTCTATACTGTTGTCGTGTCTCCTGGCGGAAAATATATCACCAGTGCTGGACCAGATGCAAAAGTTTATTTGTGGAGTCTCGAGGCAATGATGATGTGAGTGTTTGTAATATGTTGTAGGCATCTTTTCTAAGTGGGTTTTGTTGTCGTTCAGAATGTGGATGAGGGCAATGCAAAGCTCAAAGCAAGTCATCTATACTTCCCTTGTGCACTGTAACTTACTTCTTTACTAGGGACGTGCAGCCCGACCGAGAGATGTGCGTCAATAAGCTGTGAACAAATCATTTACTCATTTGCATCGTCAGATCATGCATACTAGTCTATTTTCCAAGCAGCAGCCCAATAACAGAGGCTTGGCGAAATATTTCAGTATAATCTCGTTTCTCGGATCATGCAAGTCTAATATTCGTACAGGGCAAAGACTTCTGGGATGCTAATACCAACCCCACGCCGTCCCGCAACTCCTGCTAGCCAATCGTTCGGCCTTCGTTGGCGTAATGCACTCTACCTGCACATGCACCACAATCAGTACCGTTCGAGCCCCGGCATTGGTCATTTTCCTGTAGGACTCTCTAGATACATTGTCGTAGCTCCCTGTCGCGATGAAGATGTGAGTGCTCGACATTGGCAATATTCAACCCTCTTTAACAAATTTACAGAGATATGGTATTACCCCTGAGATTGACGCCGAAACGGCCGCAGCTATGCCTCGTACAAACAATGAGGCTGGCAGTTCAACGCAACCGGGTCAACCTCAAGCCATGCTGGGGACACGAGTGTATCAAGGGGCAACCAACAGGAATGCAAGGCTCAAATGGTAGGACGGGAACTGTTTCTTATGAAGTTGGGTGTTGCGGATTATTCTGTAGTTGTGGTCGTGCTCCCTCGCATGAGTCTTGAAGCTAAATTGAACTCCCACTGAGACTCGATAATTTACCCTATTCCGCCTGGTGTGCTTTTGCAGACTATTTTGCTGCTCGTGCTACAGTTACACACACTTGCTGCGACCCCACTTGTTGTGTACATATCAGGCTACCTCAAAGGTATCTGAATTGCAATGTTTCTCACCGACTCGGACGTTCTTCATGCCAGCCTGAGCATGGGCGAGTTTTTACACCTCCGAGTCGATGTCATGTGGTGCACAAAGTTATTTCCCTGATGAGATATGAGTATGAGATCTGGGCATGCGCGTGTGTTTGTTAGTTATTTTGAAGCGTTCAAGTTAATGACGCGGAGCAGGAACACACCGTTGTTGCACGGAGTTTGAATGCTTACTTTTTCCTGGCCACTCGGAGAGGCATCACTCAGTCTACAACCTAATACCTAAGGCCTAAGGCCTGACGCCTAAGGTCCAGGCCACCGTAGTATCGATCTAATATTGGCACTTGGTCTAGATTCATAGATACCTTCAAGCTATCAATTGCAAGGTCATTTCATGACTGGGACCCAGGGAAAGGCAATCCCCTTCATTTCCCAGACTCAACATTACTAGCAATCGTTCTACTCAGTGTGCAGCCATGAACAACTCGACTTGCGGCATACCACCGGTGGTACCAGCAGACCTCCACTTCGAGAGGACATCCAGGAAACGGCCAGTCTGGGGCCAAAGTCTGGGGCGGAGTCTGGGGTCAAAGTCTGGGGCTGCGGCTGACGCGTGCGGAGCTTAATTCTGAGTTCCGGGGCAGTGCCCCATGTGCTCTATTGTGCTTCTTTTATATTGCGCACATTTAGGCGCATTCACGCACACTCGCGCTGTCCTCCCAGAATGTGCTTAAATAGTGTCAAATATGCTTTGATTGCTTAGTAGGTATTATGCGGAATACAATCGGTATACGAAAGCAGCTGGAAAATAGTGAAACCGATGCGAAACAGGTGGAGTATACCTCGAAAGTACGTTGAGAGCCGAGCATAAACGAAATAGACAACAGCCTGAGAGCGGATCGCAAACATCGAGAGCCGAGCAGAAAGGATGTAGACAGCAGAGCAGATCGAAAACATGTTGAGAGTAGACAGCGGAGGAGATCGAAAATGGGAAGCAGAAAACACAGCAACGAAGGTGCGGCAGACACTGGTAGCAGAATCAAGACACGTTGAGGAAGCACAAGTGTTGGGACAGTGGATTGACGATCATAATTTTGACTGGTTTTGGTGCGGAGAAGCACGAACATAGCATGCTAACTGCATGTGGTGAGTAGATTGGCGGGTGTGTCGGCAGCCGCTAGCCATCTACGACGGGCACACTAGTACTGGCAGGAGGCACGATGATGGCGGGTGGCTTTGGAATTGTCACAAAGCAAACACGTGACAAAAACAATTCAAACTCAGCCCGGGTCAGCCGTGTTTGCCGAACGCCCCAGACTCTGGCCCCAGACTCCGCCCCAGACTTTGGCCCCAGACTGGCCAGATCTCTGACATTCACCACTTCGACGTGCAACGTTCTATATTTCGTGAATGTCAGAGATCTGGCCAGTCTGGGGCCAAAGTCTGGGGCGGAGTCTGGGGCCAGAGTCTGGGGCGTTCGGCAAACACGGCTGACCCGGGCTGAGTTTGAATTGTTTTTGTCACGTGTTTGCTTTGTGACAATTCCAAAGCCACCCGCCATCATCGTGCCTCCTGCCAGTACTAGTGTGCCCGTCGTAGATGGCTAGCGGCTGCCGACACACCCGCCAATCTACTCACCACATGCAGTTAGCATGCTATGTTCGTGCTTCTCCGCACCAAAACCAGTCAAAATTATGATCGTCAATCCACTGTCCCAACACTTGTGCTTCCTCAACGTGTCTTGATTCTGCTACCAGTGTCTGCCGCACCTTCGTTGCTGTGTTTTCTGCTTCCCATTTTCGATCTCCTCCGCTGTCTACTCTCAACATGTTTTCGATCTGCTCTGCTGTCTACATCCTTTCTGCTCGGCTCTCGATGTTTGCGATCCGCTCTCAGGCTGTTGTCTATTTCGTTTATGCTCGGCTCTCAACGTACTTTCGAGGTATACTCCACCTGTTTCGCATCGGTTTCACTATTTTCCAGCTGCTTTCGTATACCGATTGTATTCCGCATAATACCTACTAAGCAATCAAAGCATATTTGACACTATTTAAGCACATTCTGGGAGGACAGCGCGAGTGTGCGTGAATGCGCCTAAATGTGCGCAATATAAAAGAAGCACAATAGAGCACATGGGGCACTGCCCCGTCTTATAGAAAATATGCTGTCAGTCCGGATATCGAGCGAAATGCGCGAGTATGTGCGCTGTCTCTCAAATGCACATTTCAACACATTCAGCCCTATTCGAGCACAGCTGATTCTCACTGGGAGTACTGAGTACTGATCGAGATCATTGATGTCACCAAGTGCAGTGCGGCCTGCAAGAGGTCACAAAGGGCGGGTCACAACTCACAATGGACGGGTCACACTGGTATTGCAAACGTGACCAGATATAATTGGAACTCAGAATTAAGCTCCGCACGCGTCAGCCGCAGCCCCAGACTTTGACCCCAGACTCCGCCCCAGACTTTGGCCCCAGACTGGCCGTTTCCTGGATGTCCTCTATATTTCAGGGCTGACTTCAACTTTGGCTAGATCTGGAATTTCTACTCGGCAAGTTTGGCACTGGTGAGTTACTGGTACTGTCATTCACAATTACTACCTGAAATCAGATGACGAGAATGACCTCAGGCTCCACTTGTGACACAAGGCGTAACCATGTCCCTGCATACTGCGGAATAGAGCGGTAGGTCCAGGGTTACTGGCAAACTTTGAAACGTAGCTGTGGAGTAGATTCGTTTCGGCATGAGCTCGCTTCCATTTAGAACCTTCTCGTCGAAGGAAATCGAATCTTGCGGTCCGTGGGGAACCTAACTCCAAACTCCAAACCCCACACTCCGTGAAGCACGCGATTAAAGGTTACGCTCTCACTCATGTGTGACATCACTCGAAGTGCTCTTTTCAAAGCGAACACGAGCGGGCTCATCACAATCCGTTCATTTTACACTTCACTGTTCGTTTCAGTCCGGTTTCACGGTTCTTGTAAAGTTGTCAGCTGGAAAATCTCATTGATTCTTCCCATACTCAGATCACAACAGGGCCTCCATGCAGACCTGGATGGGATTACGTATATAACTTGAAAGAAGACTGGCGCCTCTTTGAAAATTCATCTCAAATCTAGATCCGCAGCTTTCTCACTGTTTGCTTGCCACACATATAATGACGTCAGTAATTCTGCTCTCACTCTTCAAAAACTTCAAAAGTCTTATCATGGGGGAAACATCCACGGAACTGCGCGAGTACTCTCGCAATATCGCTGCGCACACTTTGAAGCAGCTCATAGAATGGCAAGCTTCGCTCGAACGCCTGTCAAAGGAATGCGAGCGGGAGAGTGTGCAGGACAGCGCCGACAAGCATGGTCCTAAAGGTAGCCGGTTGATTCTTCCTGTGAGTTGTATGGGAATTAAACTATATTCCAGAGCACGCTCGACTCCCACAAAAGACTGCGTTGAGTGGGTAGAATGATATTTCGGTGTGCAAAACCTGCGCTGTCTATATGTATGTGCCATGCAACATCATTGTCGTTCCCAGCTGAACTTAACTGAGTGCATGCCATGCAAGATAACACTACTCTTCGTTTTCTCTTCCCACCCTCAAGCCCAATACTGTGGCGTGTATATCATTTCCCTTTGTCATGTTGTATCATTTAGTTCAAGTTGTCACATATTTCAATATGATATGTAGAATATCATGACAGAACAAATATAAAAGCGTTATGCCCGTGTCATTCTTAGCAGATGTCAAATATTGGTGGTGATTCTAACCGATAGGTTTTTCGATCTCATGGGCGTGTGTTCTTGTACATGTATAAGAACCGGAAACTCATGGCTGTCATCGATAAGGTATGCCTAGGCCCGTACACGATGCATCCATTTTCGTTTACTTGTTGCTTCCATTATGGCCACCCCTCGTTCATCTCCAACTATAAACTCAAAAAGAGGCGCTTCGTTTGAAATCAAGTGCGCCTTGATATCGATCCATAACGCTTGAACTTCGAAGCTTGAGGCGCGGGCTGATGCCAGGCCGAGGTTGATTCACAAATGGTGGCACGTTGCAGATTCCTTTGCGGGAGACCGTCGGCTCCTCTGACTTAGTTCCTACCTCCAGCTTTACTAGGTGCTTGAAGAAGTGGCGTTAATAGGAACTGTCATATAATTGTTTAAACCTCGATTATCCATCCTCCGCGGCCGTTATCTATGTGCATGTAGTGCAAATACAGCAGTACGTAGTGTAGCGAAGGAATACACAAATATTTAATACGCATAAGAGTTCAGGAGAGAAGTGAGATACATTATTACATAGGCATGACCAGATATTTGAGCCTTCAACAAAGGGCGTTAGGTCGACGTAGGTAAATGGATGGCGGCGGACGCACCTGCCGTAGATTGAGGCATGTTAGGATCGCGACTTTGTATTATTGCTTTGTGATGCCTTCGCTGCATGTTCGACCTTTGTCAGTTTTGTCATAGAATTGAGTTTATCACACCCACCGGCTCGCTCCTTCTCCTCTTGTTCCTTGGCCTTGCGTTCTAGCGCAGCACGCCATTGGATAAGCTGCTCTAGCGTGTACGCAGTCATGTCCTCAGAATATTGGCACAACTCGGCATCGGGATTGATTTCTTGTGACATGATAGTGAGGATGATTTGAGTAGAGAATTTGAGCTCGATGTGTTGCTTTACTCTGCATATTGAAACATGGGGTTTTATACCCCAGCGTGGGCCGTGAGACTGCTGCTGCAAGCCCCAGGGTTGTCGGGAGTTGCAGCTATAGACCGGTGGTGTGTTCAGACACGTCGAAGGCACCCTCATGACAGTATAAAGTGATGTCGTACGCAGTCCCTTTCTTCATGAACACATCCAGGATCAAAGAGGCTGTTTTAGTGCCTGGTGCCTCATGTTTTAGGTATAGCGGTAGGCTTATTGGAAGATTAATGAATGCTGGTGAGACAGCAATCACTTCGTATTTGCGAGAGAATCGTGGGTTTGCACCGATACGCACCGCTCGCGAGACATGCCGGATTTCAAAGTTCAGTAAACACGTGACTAACTCGAGTACTTACATATAATCTTCAAGTTGGCTCATCGATGTCTTCCACCTGAAAAAATACCAGTGGCGTCGGAGATTAACTGTCAGCTGAGATCCTGGTGTGATATATGAGAGCTCGGCTGAGACACTATCCGTTCATTTAAAAGAAATAAGTGACCGAGAAAATCAATCGAATAGTCGGAATGCGTACCTTGGCTATTAATATACGTAATAGCCTCGACGCACCTAAGACTAACTAAGACCGTCGTTTCAATGGTACCTGACACAGGAAACACTCGATTTAGAAGAAAAATAGCGCACATGCTTTACAACATGTGCAAAAATTCGGAGGCGAAACAAGACCGGGGGTCCCTTGAAAATACATTGATCAGCGCTGACAGTCACACTTCAGGTGGCACCTCGGTTCCCTTCCTTAGGAACTTGTGCACGAAGTTAGGGACAGGCGGTTTCCTTTGGCAGCGGACATCACGTCGTGTGTTAGTCCCTGGTACCTTCACACTCCTCGCGGTGCACACTGGGAGCAGTTTCACAGAGACGTCCTTGCGGACCGCCTCGGAGCTCTTGCACAAATGTTCCGCCTTTCATAGAATGGTCCTCAACAGACTAAGACATGCATGGCTTGCGAGAAGAGCCCAAGACCCGACCAATAGTACTTCTTCTTGCCCATGGGGCAAGAAAACTCATGCCTGAAGGAAGTTCAGTATTGAATAACAAAAGTTTTGAAAATGTACGTCACGTCAAGGGAATAATTGCCAAGTGAATACTTATCTGTGAGCTGTGTAACATCATGATGTTCGTGTAACGATTTTGAACCTAGCACGCAGCCACATCGGCTGGAGAGTTTCACACCTTCAAGTTGACCCTGTGGGCGCCTGCTTTCCATTACGCATACCGAGCATATGGTAGACGCCATGCCAAGTGAATAAAAGGTTCCTGTGCAGGGATTCTTGCCCATTAAAAAAGATAAAACTTGAGCATTAATGCGATGGATGTCACGAACGCAGAACAACGGTAGTAGCTGATTTAGGAAGTGCCGATGTATTTTGTTGTATGTTATTTGTTCAATGACATTGACAGGCCTAGCCACTGCCTTAGGAAGCGCTTACACCTGAAATTTGAAACATAGACGTTGTATTAAATTATCCCCACTTTGCAGTATCTGTCGCGGACTCTTATTATTTGGCGTGTCAGCCTGAATAATAAGCGATTTTAATTGGTTCATAAATATTATGTAATCAAAAAACTTTAAGTTACTATGTGGACGGAACAAAGCTTGAATTGAGCCAACGTTATCATCCTTGTTCCAAGTAAAGTTGGGTCGATAGTAACATTGCTATGGTCCACGCAGAACCTTCTCACTGACTCGGATAAGAGGTAATTCCGAATCACAAATATTCGGCGTCCTTACCAAATAACCGTGGCATCGTGTTGGAGAGTGATCAGCGATTCGACTCTGCCATGGCCCATGTTTCAAGAACTCACCCCCAGCTTGACATTCTCACTAGCAAGAGGTGATTCCGAACTACATTCGTCTATACCGAATAACAGTGGCACTGTTGGAAAGTAATGCGACTAGTGATGCTTCTCTACCGTAATCTGCATTGCGGAGTCCGGCTTCCCTTCCTAGTCAGAGCGACCTTAATCTCGGCTTATGCTCCCGCGTCGAATAAGATAAGTAGTGCTATTTTTTTTCACTCAAATATTTTTCTAGCCCACTCAACACCATGATCCCAGAAAACTCCATCATGAGTGTCAATATATCATATACCGCTAGTATCGTCGCAATCGTGGTGGTCTTTGCCAAGTTATACCAGAAGTCCTCATTAGCCTCCGGAAAGAACAGCATTCCACTTCCGCCTGGACCTCCCGCCCGTTGGTTCTGGAGCAATGCTTTACCTACTGTGAAGTGAGCTTTGATGATGTTCAAATCCACGATATTAGAAGCTGATGAAGATCGTCCACTCAGCATTGCCCACGCGCTGACCGACTTGGTCCGGGAGTATGGCCCGATCGTGTCGTTGCGACAAGGTAACCAAGTGATAGTTGTCATTGGCAGCGTTGAGGTAACCCATTTCACAGCATAAGCTTCCTCTGATAATGACCCACATCGACCGCTTTACCAGGCAGCCACGGACATCATGGAGAAAGAGGGTGGATCACTGGTTGATCGACCTGGGTCCATTGCTGTGGGTGAGATGCTCTCAAAGGGAATGCGGATTCTCATGGCTCGTTCCGGAGATCGTTTCCGGCGCCTCCGAAAAGCAGTACATACCCATTTACAATCGAAGGTGGCAGAGACATACCAAGATATGCAACGCGAGAATGCGATGATTTTCGTATTGGATATGCTGAATGATCCAAAGAACCCCCAGAAGCACGCACAGCGGTCCGTCATCACCATGACTTTTTGCGATCCTTTCATAGATATGTACCTCAAGGTTTGCAGCATCAGTCATTCTTCGGGTGACTTATGGGAAGTCTGTGCCCACTGCCAACACCGATCCTGAAGTTGTCCGTATCCACAGAGTCATGAAGCATTTTCAGGTCGTGATGCGCCCAGGAGCTTATCTCGTCGATCGTGTACCTCTTTTGCGCTACTGGCCTGGTTACGGAAAACAACTTGCTAAGTGGCATCATGAGGAGCTAGAGCTATACAAGCATCAACTACAGCGCGTCGAGAGTGAAATTGCAAGTGGCTTTCCATTTTGATAAACGTATTCATTTATATCTTGTTATACTTAGGATCAAAACACAGCCGGCCCCTCTTTTACCAAGACACTATTGGAGCACGCCAATGAATATCAACTTTCCACAGATGAAATGGCATATCTTGCCGGATCACTCTTTGGGGCGGGATCTGATACGGCAAGCCATGCAACTGATTTACCTCCGCGAAGGTACTTATTTGTAGTTCAGACCGCTGTTGCAATGACCGTTGCTATTATGGCTGCAGCATGTTACCCAGCGGCCCAGGCAAAGGTGCACGAGGAGCTTAATATGGTCATCGGGTCAGACAGAGGTATTGCTAAAGGGTACGAAGTATTTGATTTCTCGACTAATTTCTCGTGGTAGCGCCAACATTTGAAGACTCAAACTCCCTCCCCCAATTGCACGCGTTCTTGTTGGAAAGTTTGAGATGGAGACCTGTCATCCGCATAGGTCAGTTTCAAATTGAGCACGCTCCTGCATGATGCTGACATGTGCCTCAGGATTTCCACACCGTGCAACAAAGGATATTTTTTGGGTGAGTATCTTAGATTCATCGTAACTTACATTCTCATTCTAATCTGTGTGAGATCAGCAAGGATACTGCATTCCTGAGGGTGCAATAGTCTATGGGTGCCAATGGTAAGGTGTCACTTCTCGATATACATCGCTTCATTAAGTGCATGTTTTCAGGGCTATTTCTCGCGATCCTATTGCCTTCCCAGATCCTGAAACGTTCGATCCCCAGCGCTGGATTGACTCAGAAGGCCGCCTCAAAGACAGCGTCAAGTTCATCACCTACGGCTTTGGTAGACGGTAAGCCGTGCCGACATCGTTTTTTTGACATTGATCATTGAAGTTCACTTATCATCAAAAGTGTGTGTCCCGGTCTGCACCTCGCAAACCACTCGTTGTACATCAGCCTCGCACTTCTCTTGTGGTCTTTCCGCATCGTTCAACGACCTGACGCCCCGATCAACACGCATGCTTTCTTGGATGCTGTTATTGCCCACGCAATGCCATTTGAAATCGATGTCATTCCCCGGATCGAAGTTGCGAAACTGAAAGAGCTTATGACCGACGATGTATAGATTAAAGAAGCTTATATCCGCCGGAAAGATATAGGAGAGCTGGCACAGCATATGTATGTAGACAGCAAGACGAGCATGTCATTTGTTTGAGTTCAATCAGCAGAGGAAGAAAGGCACCCGGGAAAACTCATCACAACGGACTCATCAACACCTGATAAAGTTGTGGGACAATATATGCAGGCCGTAAGGGCTTGAGGTCATCTGTACTTGGCTCAAAATCGTATGAAGGTTACGAGTACAGTGGTAGGCAGGCATGGGGGATTTCACGAGACTTTGTCCTAGACCGCTTCTGAAAAGCGGGAAGTAAGCGAAATGTGAGAAAGTGTCCGAGGTCATGTACTCCGAAAGCAGACGAAGTGAATATAGATCCTAGATTCATGAAGAAAACGTATTGAAACGAATTGCTAGTCAGTCACAGCCAGAGCCAGGTCCTTCTCGCCTTGCAGAACACTTGAGGGCGTAGTTGAATTGCATCGGTCGAACCCAGAATTATACTGGAAGCTTCGCGTCGGATGCTATAGATGTCCTGAACACATGCCCTGACTACAAGCAGAAGGCGCTCGACATCTACTGCACGAGACGACAAGCCTGTAGCTAGGGAACATGTCGATAAAGTAAAGATCGCAAGCCTGAGGTAATCGAGAGTTCCGTGCCAGTGACGATAGGGTTAAAATGCCGTAGGTCGAACAGGGAAGGCATAGATTCTGCTCTCGTGGACATTAGGGTTTCGCACACGACTGCAGTCACGATTCTTCTGGCAACTTGATGCCATGAGGTCGTTTACGAATTCCGTTACATCAGTTCCATTATCCAAGTTGAAATAGGCGAAATAGAACGTTTCGGCGTAGGCAGCTGGATGATGTCGGAAGTATGTTTCACTTCCTCTGCTGTAGCACTAGCCGAGGAAGGGCCGGGTGCAGGCTGAGTAGAAGAAGTGGCCTTCACCGTGTTCTTGTGCGGCAGATTGATAACTACGTGTGGAGCACAGGCATCAGACTGAGTGAACGTTGGCCCCAGCGACTTTGGAGCTGTTGACTGGTCCTCGGTAGGTGAGAAGTATTTTGCAGAGACGTCCATACGATGTTCTGCGAATGTATATCAAAGTCAACAAGTTGTGGTTCCATTAAACCATGAGAAACATACCTGCGTTCTTAGAAATAGCACCAGCAGGCCACTCGCACTTCTGATGGTCTACAATGCAGCGCATGCAGGTATTTGATAGTTCGTACTCGTCAGTCTGCGAATACAGACGAAGTACGGTGAGGCAGGGCCTCATCGCCGAGGATTTTTTTGTGCATCTCTTGCATTCAAGCACCACCTATGGTGGCCGGAAAGGAGCTTAGCATGAAAGAGGTTCAACAGAAACAAGAATCTCACTGCGTGAGGGTCTTGCAGGTTGTTATCTTGCATTAGCTCGTTGAAAGAGCGGGGTTTGGATGGTAGCATGCGCCGGAGTGGTTTCTTGACGGAGGATGGGAGTCTGGGCCGATTGGAAGGACGGTGCGCGAATGAAGAAGGCTATAGATGGAGTCTAACGTTAGTCACTACGAGATGCGAACCTAGGGGAGACGTACCGTTTGGACATCCGAAGGCCTTATGTCGTCTTGTAGCGATTCCTCTCGAGGGCGTTTAGCCCAAGAAGTGCGAGTGCGACGCGCAGGCTTCTCGTCAGTTTTCCTATCGCCTGTGCCAGCGCGGTCACCATCTTTTCCCTTGTTAGAAGGCTCAGGGAGAGCGATGACAGCAGGCAAAGACAATCGGGTGCTAGCGAGAGGATCCCCGATCACGGGACTCCCGATTAAAGCTTGCATTTTTGCTTCCCAAGCCTCAGCAGTAAGAGGAAGCCACTGGCGACCCCAAGATCGCCAAGGGTGGTGCCGGCGCGTATCCACCTGCTCTTGGAAGGTTGTGTGGAGTTGAGAGACCGCCGTGAGCGTGAATAACACCTTGCGTTCCTCGGTGTTGAGCCAAGTCTAGGAAAGGAACTATAGTTGACGAGGGAAAGGGTTTGAAGAACCATGAAGCTCACCAGAAATCGCACGACTTCGCGTCCCCAGTCCCCTAGCATGTCCAAAGGAGCGTCCGTGCCGGGAGCTTGCAGAGTGAGCGCACTGGCCATTTCCGTGACTTCGCTCAAGGTAGGCATGTTGGAAAGGGACGCAGTGAAGACAGATGATGGGAGTGGATACAAGAGATAAGACAAACTATCGAAGGGATTGTTGATAGAAGTCCAATTGAATTACATGCGAATTGATCACTCACGATCATTTGCGATGAGCCAAGCAGTCCAGAAACAACCAAACCCCCTCGCTTGACGGTCAACCTTTCATTGCTCAATCTCACCATCCTCGCCAGCGCTAGCCACTTTAATCCCCGTGTCAATGGCCTAATTGGCCGACCACCCGGGCCGAGATTGGACCTTGACAAAGCTGCACAGCCCCCTCGATGAGCCTGATCTGATCCCGAAAAAAAGTTTCATAGCTCGGGAAGGATATGAATTTGAGAAGAAAATCCAGTAAACGACATTCTGGAATCCACGATGCGATAGATTTGACGCGCGTCTTACTCCCTTCAAGGAATTCAACTTCAAGAATATTTAAGTATATCGCGAAGCGCGCTGGACTCGTGGCTAGCGCTCATCTTGGACTCGTAATGGCACTGAGTCGTTTCCTCTTGTCAGGCACCAATCGCTGGACTCTTGACGACCATGGAATAACTGTTATATTGGTCTGCCTAAAAAAAGTACACCGCATGCAGTAGGCATCAATTGTGCGCTGAGAATGATGTTGGCCCAGGACAGTGGTAGCCATCAGGCCATCATTTGCGTGCGCAGTCCTGCAAACGTAGCCGTCGAACACAGCAAAAGGAAAGTCGCCCTGAAGTATCTAGCACTCGCATATCGGGCATGTATTTACGCAGTGACCATTCTTCCCTTGCTAAATTTACCTCGGCCAAGACTTAGACACCACAGGTGTGACGAAGAAAATGCCACGAGATCTACACCAACAATTTGGAGAAACTCGCCTTACCCAAATCCAGGGATCGAGAATGTCATAGCGACAGCTCACCGTCGTGGCCTTCCTCACCAACCAACATTTGGCCTCTGACGCTAGTTTAACCACGGGCATGTATTTGTATTTCTGCGACAAGTTGGATACAGGATATCATGCTAACCATGTCTGCAGAGGTTGATTGTATAGTGACACCAAGTATGGAAACGCACAGGCGGGCAAGCAAAAGCTCATAATGCAGGGCGAGTGTGCACCCTGTAAGGAGAAATGGGGAGGGGCGGGCGAACCACGAGAAGGCAGTTGGGGTCGTGTACTCTGAAGGCAGAGGAAGCGGATGGATCTCGAATTCGGCGGTAGCGGAATTGTATCTTGGCGGAATGTTAGTAAGAGGAGACGTGAAGTTGACATCGAAGTTCGAACCGATGGAGTGATCATAATAATGCTTCAATTTCTTTCTTTTTGGATCCTAGTGTCTATCAGCATGCCGCGAGGCTTGTAGTAGACGTGTCGCACTCCAGGAGCGCAGCTTAAACATAGACAGGGTAGGTAGCCTGAGGTTACCCGCGTTCTCCGAAGGACATGTCTCCAAGCGGAGTATGAAAGTCGTGTCCGTCACTGTTTCTCACGCTTGCAACAGCGCCAAAGGACTTTTGTCGTTGATCTGCACACGGACGAATGGATCGTCCAAAGGTCTTTTAATATCGCGAGCCACTGGTGAGGATGTGAAAGTAAAGCGAGGAAGTGTGCGACCTAGGGTCTTCCATAGAGCGCCACGAAGTGAGTTGGCTACGACAAACATTGGTTGAAGTCGAGGCAGTTTTCTTTCATACTTAAAAATATGGGCGTCGATGTTCAACTGCTATAATAAATGATAATCAAGGGTCCGCATACTTACGTTACGACTGGTATCCAATCATACCAATCAAATGTGTTCTTGTTCCACCGGACTTATGATCTAGCGCAATTTGCAAAACGAATGAAAGCTGTAGTATCCAAAACCAGCTCCAGAGCACATTCGAGGTCCATGAAGCATGAGAGCTTATATGTGCAGTTTCGTCTTCTTGCGCTCCAACATCGTGAGCGGTTTGTCACATCTGAGGGCCCAGGAGGGCTCAAGAGTCTTTAAAGGTGTATGGCAAAACTTGAAGCTTGAAGTACGGTTAATTTAAACAGGAAATGGAGCAAAGAACGAACAACCACCAGAAGGCTAAGCTATGTTGACGGCCCATGACGGGTACTTGAGTTGGGATTTGCTCTAAACACATACTATTCTGATCGGTGCTAAATCTCGTTCTCGCAGTGACTGTCGTTGATCTGTACATGGACCGACATATTGCCTAAAGGTAGGGCCATCAGTGCTAGCAAGGACTCGGAATCATACGATGTGTGGTTTCTTGTGGAGCGCAACGAAGGTTTGCTTTTCATAGCATTTACTAAATCGGAATATACCAATCTGAAAATTGTTGTTTGGACTCAAAAAGGCTTTGCCAAACAAACTTGGCAGGATTCCCTCACTAAGTCGATTTAAAAGTTACCCTGAGCCTGCAGACTGCCGCGGTGCCGGTAAGACCTTCCTGGGTCATATCCAGCGTACCGGTCTCCCGTATGCGTGTTAGGGAAGAAATGTGAGAATTTGTTTTGCTTTTAGACTCGGGCGAGCGTTATTAACATGCATTTGAGCGCTCATCCATTGAGTAGCCGATAATCGCAAGTCTAGTCTCCGTTCCCAGTCGACCGTGTTCATTCATAGTGGAAGTTGTTGTAAAGCCTATGGTGAAAAGATCTAAACTGTTCAGTTACGGTGAAAGATTCTTGTTCCTCAGGATTCAGCGCATGTCGTGCTCGCTTCTCGTTTCTCTCCTTAAAGTTCAGCCCATGAAGCCTTGCGGCCGACGTAGGAATTTCACACTTGCCTTCGCAATTCAGTTTATTGTTCAGTAGGATCGGTACTACATATCCCCGCGCAATGCCTCAAGTACGTTCGCTCTCATCTGCATATCTTTATGATCCGATCACTTTTTGCATTAGATCTCACTACCGATGATATAGTAATATCATTCAGTAGCAAGTAATACCAAGACTTCGAACTTGGCTAGCAAGACTTTTCAAGACCTCATGACACGGGTATTGGACCTTCTATTCATCGCACCTAACCAACCTTAGGCAAGCTAGTCCTTGGCATTGCATTCGCATACGTTTCTTACATATTTCCACTCCAGCATCCGAGTTCGTTCTCAGACTAATGCCTAATCTGGCATCTCTTCGGGTTTTGTCTCGACATATCGAGCAATGTCCGCCTCAGCGTGGCTACAGAACGATAGTGCCATTATCCCCGTACAAGGAGAATCCCTGTTTCATTCCTTCCAATCAGCGGCAACCCTTCTCGCCTCCGTCTCAGATAATGCGATTGTAGTCGTGGGTCTGGCTAATCAGAAGAACTGAAAGCGCAA